TCAACGTTACAAGTGAAAATGAAGATAGAATTCGGCAAAATCTATACGGGGATAGCAAATTAAATAAACCTATGCATGTAAAATATAAGTTTGATATAGGTAACCAAGTACGAATAAGTAAAATAAAACGAAGGTTTGAGAAGGGGTATTTACCGAATTTTTCAAAAGAAATTTTCACTGTAAGTCAAAAAATACCGCGCAATCCTCCTGTATACAGACTGAAAGATCATGAAGGGGACGAACTTCAAGGAACATTTTATGAAAAAGAACTTCAAAAAGTCATCAAGAAAGACGATGTTTATGAGATTGAAAAAATACTTAAGAAACGTGGTAGAGGGGGCAATGTACAATATTTTGTAAAGTGGTCTGGCTACCCTAACAAATTTAATTCATGGGTACCAGCATCGGAAATACATATATAAAACGTAACCGTTTTCATGATTTTTTCATTTCACATTATACCTTAAAGATGAGCGGGACACACTTCTATCTGACATTACCTAGTAATGCATCTCTCTGTATTTCCTGAGAATAAGATTTCAGGTTATCGCGTAAAACTACCTCACGTTGTGCATTTAAATGGTAATTGGGAAGTAGGATTGTATTCAATTACATATCTTCATACATGGTACACGTTGAAAAAAGGTTTGGATACACATATATATGTAACTCATAAAACAGGTCTACCTACTCCGGTATTTGTCGACTATGGCTTGTATGAAAAACCTTGGACCTAGTAAAATCAGTTAACGAGACTCTTGACAAAGAAGTAAAAGACAGTATCAAATTGAGCTTTGACCCGCGAACAGAAAAAATTAAAGTGCATGTAAGACAGGGTTACAGAATATCATTTAATCAACGAATGTCGGTCTTACTCGGCTTTGGCGGAAAAGACGTAGCGATTTTAAAAACAACCGAAAGTCCTTATGCTTGTGATTTGCACGGATCCGTCATGATGTATGTATATTGCAACATTGTACAACCGCAAGTTGTTGGAGACGTCAATGTAAAATTACTAAAGGCAGTTGCTATTCAAGGAAAATATGGAGACATTGTTTCAAGAACATTCACTAATATCCAATACTTACCCGTGCAAACAAAATCTTTTGAGGACATCGAAATTCTCTTAAGGGACGAGTTAGGAAATCCCATCGCATTTGAACGAGGGAAGTCGATAGTGACACTTCATTTCAGAAAACAATCCTTATCTTATTTTACATAAGAAAAAAAAATATAAGTAGAACAAACCGTTAAGTTCAATATTATCTCAATCAGCAAAAAGGATACGGATCACAACCTGTCTTTAGAGGAGCATCCTGGCAAAAAGGTTATGGGCAGATGGGTTATGGTCTTGGTGGTCTATTTCGTAGATTGGCTAGAGCTGCAATACCTTTGGCAAAAACCGGCGCGAAAGCTCTAAGTAAAATTGCCCTCGATACAGGTGCAAACGTTTTGGGTGATGTTATCTCAGGGAAAAGTTTTAAAAAGTCTGCAAAATCTCGTGTTAATCAAGCAGCAAAAGAAACAGGGAAAAAAGCTGTAAACCGTATACAACAGTTTGCTCAAACAGGAAGAGGAAAACACCAGAAGAAACAGGCAAAAAAGGCAGCTAAAAGAGGAAAGCATCGTCTTCTCATTTCATTTACCATTCAGCCAAGAGACATAAAGCAGCTAAATAAGCAGAAGATATTTTTGGTTAAATATGGAGTTCGTTCATCCCAAATCAGCAGAATGTACAAAAGTGAACTTGACATATTTTTCGTACCCCAACGCAAACCAGTTTGGAAAGGGGCGATGGATAGACCATCCACCTGTCTCTAGTGTATCTGAAAGCGGTCCGATTACCTTTTAGCGCCAGGTACAGAAGATTATGTTGACTTGTCTAACACAATGTTGATGGTCAGAGCAAAAGTAACGAAAGCTGACGGTGGAAATCTCGACGATGGCGCTAAAGTAGGACCGGTGAACAATTTCTTGCATAGTTTGTTTAAGCAAGTTGATGTGTTTTGAAAGGAAGCTAGTAACCCAAGCGACAGGAACTTATCCTTATCGTGCATATATCGATACACTTTTGAATTATGGTCCATCAGCTAAACAATCCCAGCTGACAGCTGCGTTGTTTTACAAGGACGAAGCTTCAAAAATGGAGGTTGCCGACCCAGCAAACGCCAGTCCAAACAATGGCTTGAAAACACGAAGTAAGTTTAGGGCGAGAAGTGCAATTGTCGAAATGGGAGGCCCTATATTTTGTGATGTTTTCTTTGGTGAACGCCTCCTGCTTAGCTATGTTGATTTGAAAGTGGTAGTGAACCGTACCAGTGACGAGTTTGCCCTAATGGCATCCGAGGCGATGCAGCCTTTAAAGTGAAACTGGTGGATGTCTATCTAAAAGTTTGCAAAGTTAAAGTGAATCCTAGTAGAGCTATGTCTAACGAAGTTGCACTAAACAAAGCTCAGCCGTTTAATCTTTAAGGCGTGTGGACTGCTAAAGTCTCATCATTCCATCAGGAAACCCATTGCTGCAAAAAGATAACCTTCTCAACGGTTTGGTGCCAAATCACTTGTCGTCGGTCTTGTTGCAAGTGCCGCATTCAATGGTGCCATAAAATGAACCTATCCAATTTCCAGCATTTCAACGTTTCATCCTTAGGCATTTCTGTAAACGGCGAATCTCTACCATCCAAGCCTTTCAAGCTGTCTTTTGGTAACAATCCTAGATACATAGAAGCATTTCTATCACAATTTGCTGGCACTGGAAAAAGGTTTTTGAACGCCGGAAATGGAATTGGTCGTGACGAGTTTCTAAAGGGTTTTGCTTTGTACTGTTTTGATTTGACGCCTGATATGTGTGGTACGGGAGAACATTTTAATACAGTGCAAAAAGGAAATCTTGCCATTGACATACAATTCTCAACAGCACCAACTAATGCTGTTAGTCTTGTGTGCTATGGAGAGTTTGAAAACGTGATCTTTATCGATTCTAAGAGGAATGTTGTCTATGACTATATTGTTTAAATTAACACCTCACAAATATCGTCTGCTTTGAGATCGGATCCTGTTACAAGCAAGAAATTTCTTGATGTTTTTCCAGCCAATCGTCTACCTAAAGTAATAAAAAGCTATCCGAATGGGTTTATAGCAAACACCGATATTAGCGGAAAACCTGGAAGTCATTGTGTTGCATTTTACATTCCGTCTGAACGAAAAGCCGAATTCTTCGACAGCTATGGCCAGTGGCCTGAGACTTATCATAAATTCTTTAGAGACTATTTGAAACATTATGATTGGAATTTTAATCCACGCAAATTACAAAGTATTTGGACCGATGTATGTGGACAATATTGTATATTTTACCTAAGCCAAAGATTGCGAGGTCATAGTATGAGTAGAATTGTAAGCATGTTTGATATTAATACTGTTGAAAACGATAGGAAGGTATCGAATTTTGTAAACAAACATTTTCAAATAGAAACTAGTGTAATCCCTAACAACGGAAATCAGTCAAGTACAAAGTTATTTGTAAAAGATTGAAGTGTTTAATAATGAATAAAAAGTTCTTTGTGTGACTTAATTGCTTGCATTTTGTATTTACATATTTTCATTGACAACAAGGAGGAAAATGATATCAACTGCGATTTTTATTTAAAGAAAAAATCCTTTACAAGACATATTAATAGCTTAACCAACGTAATTGAGTTTTCTTGTGTGTAGTGGAAGCTTTGGGCGTTATGAATTTCGTTTTCTTCATGTGGTGAAGTTTCCATTTGAGCCTCCTTCCATCTCATATCGTTCCTAACCAAATCTCGTGGAATGTTTATTTTTGATAAAACACGAAAGAATTCTTTAGACCCTTTAGGATTGAAATTTTTCCTTCCTCTCACAGCATCGCTAATTAGATCTGTTATGTTTGATTGCGGAATGGTGACTCCCTCAAGTTTGACTTGTCCAAACCGTCCCAAGATATTATACTTGGCTGTGTTCTAAGGCACTGCAATATTGCTTTCGCCCGCTCACGCATAGTTTTTGGCACACTTTGTACAATGACAGAGTCAGCTAATGTCTGATTTTCGTTGTCACTTATTATGTTTTTTTTCATTCCCATCAAGGGTGTCTACCACGCGTACCATGGGTATCTGATTATCTTTCTGTTGCTTCAATTTAAGGAATTGCTCAAAGTTTGCGTTAAAAAGTTTTTATCTTTGATCGTCACTCATATCGTCTTGTTGAAGAATATGTGAGAGCTGCGAGTCTTTATTCATCATATTCATCATGATCGGACTAGTTTCAAGTTTTTGTTGTTTTTCGTATCTGTTAAATACATCTTCAGGTACAAGAATCATACGCTTGGCATGCTTCATTTTGTCAACAAACTACCTAGCACTGTCAAAACCGGAGGTAGTAACGCAGTCAGCAGATTTCCTCCTTTTTGATTTAAAATATTGGTCAAGTTGTCAGGGAACCCTCCAACAAAAATTACATTCGGTATCCTTTTAACCATTTCGTCAAATTCCATCTGAGGTTCGCAATAGCAGTAAATGATTTTACTTGGAACTGGGTGAAACAGCTCATTCAAATTATAAAGCATCGACCTAACGAGATGACTCTTACCAGATTGGCTTTGCCCGCAAATGTAAAAGTTAGTTGGTGTTTTAAAACGCACGTCCATTGTCTTGCAAATGAAAACAGAATTGTTTTACAAGAGACTATATACAATCATGCATATATCAATTAAATATACTCTATTAACAAGTTAAATACTTGATCAACAAGAAGCTGATTGGATGTTCGACTCTAAAACACTGAGCACATAAGCAATCGCAAACATTTTCTTTCATCAATTGATTAGTTAATCATGTCGTTCACATGGCAAGACGTTGTGAAAAGTTGGGTTTCTTCAACTCAAGGAAGCAATAGTCAACATTGTATAACAGACTTGATAAGGCATTTGGCATATGCCAATATTATTCCAACTAGAATTATGAACAGTCAAAGCCTTCACATCATTCTATTGGCACAAATAATGTTAGAAACCTTGGATCGTGTCTCAGTACCAAAAGCAATGCAACATCCAACATACTTCGTTTATCGTGCAAATGCAAAAGAAGTAATGGTCCACGACCTATGAGATAGAATTGCGAAAAATATCAAACAGTTGGAGAATGATGAGGGTGTAAATATTCATCATTATTATAAATTGAACATTGAAAATATGATGGACATGGATTAACTACTTTTTAAATGTATCTTTGAAAATATTAATACGATGTCAATAAACATTAAATTAATAATTACTATTAAACCTTCGATAAAAAGAAACGTTATTTTCATCTTCAGACATTTCAATGTCATTTATAAATGTTTTATCATATTCGTTCTCTGATTCAAAATCCATATCTTCCTCGTCGTCAGTTTCCAATAAACTAATATCGTTTGCGTTTTCTTCATTCTCAAAAATCATGTCACCGTCATCACCATCCTTAACAACATCTTTATACTACATAACGACATGTCTCATCGTTAGCTTTGTCATCAACACAGCTATGATTTACTTTACACCCTAATGCCGTGGGCTGTACCATTGTATAAAGCATTGAATCTGGAAGATGTATAATGGGCTTTACAGACGGACTAGCAGAGTTAGACGCTGGTGACCAATAATATCCGTATAGTATTGTGTCTTCATCAGAGTTGACAATTATTCTTTTGTCGTAGACGATCTAATATTGCTTTACTTCTTTCTTGTTGACAAGCCGACGGGTCCGTTTTTCTTGTGTTATTTTACTGTTATTTACAACATCTATTTTATTTTTCTTATTTTCGTCATCTGAACGTACATAGTTAGATACCATTTCATACATAGAATCAAAATTAAGAATTTGGCTATTTTTAAAATTCAAAGTAAAACCTCGTATCTTACAATGTTTTTTCCCATTATTTACAACGTACGCGTAATTTTTTGGACCCCCACATGCAAATCTTGTAATGTAACTACCTTCCCCATGTTCTTGAGTGATTTCGTTTGTTAAATTACCCAGGTAATCCCCTAAGATTGGCCTTGGACCACCCGGTTTATTTACATAAATACAACTGTCCGTATCGCAATATAAAAGATTACCTTGTAACAAATCCATCACATTGTAAAGTTCTAATGTAGCCCATGCAGTTGTAAAAATTCCTATGAAGATATTTGTTAGTTTGTTTTCTACTTCATACTCATGCTTTCTCTTAAAGACAATTTCGACTAAATCATCATTCAAGATGCAAAGATCGTGCATTTCAATGTCGGCCCCGTTCAAACGTCTGTAGAAATATAGAGGATCATTAATGAATTCTGTATTTAGTCGATTGTCTTTTTGACAAAATTTACCCCACATGCTGTTAAGGCATAGCTTAGCCAATGCTCTTAAGCCTGGATTGTAATCTATTTTATCATGCCTTAACAGTATTCCCTCGTTTTCATAATAGTCGGCCACGTATTTCTGTCTGTCCTCTGGAGTTTGTATACGACTCGGAAATCCTGAACTCTCTTGCTTTATACGGAGAAAATAATTCACATAACCCGAAAACAAATCCGAGCTTGTGTTTTCAAAGTGCCAAATTTCAAAAATTTCAATAACCTTATATCCTTTTTCGATAGCTTTCAATACTTCAACTGTGGTAAAAGTACCCCAAAAAGCACGCTCATTTTCCGAATGAGTACACACTGAAGAGTTTTGTACAACACACTGTTTACATAAAGGAAAAAAGAGTTTATCCTTTATTCGTGAAGGTAAAATTGGAATATACAAATTTCTGGGAGCTAAAACTTTGCATTTTATTAGTCCGAAATAATTCGAAATTGTTTCAAAATTCTCGCGAATGATTGTTGGATGATCTACAGGATAAACTTTTGTTTTGTTAACGTAAGGATACAACGATGTAAAATCAACATATTCAATTGTTTCATCTTGTTGGGCGTCCCTAAAAAGCTTAAACCCATTGACTCTGCCACCAAAAAACGCATCGCGTGGTTCAAGATTCGTTACAATGTCATCTGTATCCAAAAACTGTTTCATTTCGTCCGTTTCCTTAAGTTTACAATAGTCATGTTCCCAAATCGTCTTAACCTCGTAACCCAATTGTAAAAGTCTATTTTGTCGTCTAATTGTTTCATCAAATACGTCATAAAACTGTTTCTCATTAAAAAAGGGATGATCATTTCTTAAATCGTAACAAGATGGGCATGCATGATAAAGACAACCATAAAAAGAAAATATAGTGTTTGTTTCTTCACAAAAGCCGTCGACATAGTACACTTTACCTAATTCCGGATCTTCAACTTTTTTTTCTCCGCCATTGAGAGCGTGTTGTATTTTGCATTTAGTTTGCGCAGATACAAATTCAAGCCACACGATTGCGCTTTGAGAGAAGGGTTTATTTGAATTTCGATACATATTTTTCGGTACGATTCCTATTGTGTTTGGTTGAAGATATTTTGACCGATAAATTGCCATTACGGCTGCTGCAATGGTATAATAACAGAATGGATCAACTTTAGTCTCTGCGAGAAATAAATCCCTAAATTGCAAACAACATAAACGCAGTATGGTAACGTCTTGAGAGCAGTATTTAGCCATTTCCTTTTGGAAATCAAAGACAAAGTTATTTTTATTTCGTTCTTCATGCCACGCAATCAATTTGGTGTGATCTTTTTTGAACTTTGAATCAGGACTGTAATATTTAATATCAGGTATCGGGCCAACATAATTTTGATTTTCTATTGTATTAAACAAAAACGGAAAGTCACCTTTGGAAAATTTTGTTTCATCGAGTCCAAATGTTTTAGGAAATTTAGCTAAAGGCATTTGTAAAAAGATCAGCGAGTCAATTAAACGGATTTGATAATCTTTCACTGTCAGTTGCATAATTTTCTGTCCCGTATTTATAAGATGTATATTAGCAGTCGGTCTGTATTCAATTAACCATCTCTGAATGAAAACACCGTCAAATGCCTTAGAATTATGGGCAATTGCTGTAAAACCTTTATGTTTTCTTGAAAATAAGAAGGAACAAAACTCGTTCAATGCGTTGTAACCCTTGAAAACAAATTCTGTACCGTCTAAATATTGTGCAACAGCAAAATTAACCACATGTTCTCCGGTTGAAAAATCTGTCTCAAAATCGTAAAATATTAGACTATCATTCTTGGGTTTTGGGTTTTCCGTTTGCATGAAACATAAATGATCATCAAGTACAAACTTATTGCATATATGACATACAGTTTCCCCACAGCGATGTTCGTTTTGTCTGTCTTTGTCAACTATAGATGAACACATTTGACATTGAAACGACTTGTCACACATTGATGGCAAGTCAACCCTTTTGGACCGACGCGATTTTTTATGACGATTAAAACATGCAGCAGAGCGACAAATCTTGAAACAATCCGAACACATATATTTTTCATCTGAAATCTCAACGCAGTCTTTTTGTCTGCACGTTTTACAGACATTAAAACAAGGGTGATTTAAAGCATTTTTGAAGAACTGAAAGCATTCGTCACAGTAGAAACGTTCACCGTGGAAAGCCGGAAGTTTCGCAGGGTTAATAACATTGTAATGATCACCTTGTTTGTATAAAATAAGCTTTTATTTTGGGGGCCCTCAAAATTACTGTATTTCGAGCATTAAAATCAATAACCTGAATTTGATAATCTAATAGAACCCCTTGAAACTTCGACAACTCCCGTAGTCCACAAGGTCCATAGGAAATATTGGCCTTCTTGTATAATTTCAAAGCTTCTCGCTTCTGAATAGCTTTACCCCGCTTAAATTGTTTGAGTTTTGGATTCTTGTCCGCTATGGCCTTTGCAACAACAAGAGCGCGAGCACAGCAGAAATTATCCTTATTTCGTATAGTAATAATTGACTTTTTAACTAGGCTGTCTGCTATAATCTAAGACTTTTAATGAAGTAGAATGTTTTTTACCGGACCCTGTCGACTGTCTTACAGCAACAACATCAACAGTAAACGACTGATCCAAAGGGATGTTTTCATTACTCTGCAAAACTTTCGTTATTTCGGACATCACCCGGTTTGAAGTTGTTTGAATTGCAGGCAACAGTTGCGCAGTTGCGTGCTTATGGGGGACTTAAGTTCACTCGAGCGGATCATGATTCGCATTCTGTCTTCTAGAGGTGTGACTAAATCACACGCCTTCTTTACCTGCGTGCAAAAAAAAAGAACATTTTCTTGATTTAAGCTATGTGAGGGAAAAGCATGAAAATAGAGAAGTATTTTCTTATACCTGATCAATTGTATTTGCAAAAAGTTCGTTTAATTCATTAACAATATCTTTAATCTTGTACACTTTATCATCTCTAGGTCTTTCCTTCGTAGCCCTGAAAACACACGCTGATGCACCAAACTTTTTCACGTGTTTTTCGGATATCTTCTCCATATTGAAGTGTATTGTGTCTTCGGAGAGTTAAGCCAAACGTTCATCTATTTTTTTCAGCAGCTTGAACTTTTGTTCTAGTAGCTTGGCAGTTTTTTCTTGCCAACGTAAGACTTTGCGTAAGTCCGATATTGGCTTAGCCAATTCTTTCTGGATTTTTCTTATAAGACGTTTTGCTTTCGCATTTTTACGCTCAGCACGTTTCTTCAAACGCAGGTCATATGAATCCATATCAAAACAAATTAAGAAACTACTATTGATCACTCTTGGTAAAGCTGACCTGATATAAAATAGATCCAACCTAGCCCTTTTCTTATAGTACTTTACCCCCTACAGAGATCGTCATTGCGCATGTCATGATGTAATAAGCAAAAAAATAGTTTTGAAATTTAAATTCATACATAGATTATATTGTAAACACATCAAGATTATATGGAATTTAAAGTTTCAAAGTTTGTATATTAAGTCTTTGGACATCTGTTTTCTTCATCATCGGATGAATTTTCCACAATTATTTTGGAGCGCTTTGATTCTTCAGCTTTTGGTACCTTAGTGCTCGACTCTCTTTTGGGCGCCGATGGTTTTTTAGTTTTCCCAATGCCTTTCATGGATTCGTCAGCCCAATGAAAGAGTGAACATTTCTTTTCACTTGCCATATACTTGCAACGAAAGTAGGGTCGGCCAGGATTGTTGGCCGAGTTCGATACCCACAGACATGCAAACACTTGGCACTCGCAGAGTGGAAAACGGTTCGGCTTGAATTCCTTCAGCACATTCTTATCGTACACGTCTATAAGCTGCAAGTACTTTTCTTCGGGCGTGAATAAATTACATTTTTCTTTGGCGCACTTTAGGAAGACGCGGCCCTCGTTGGAAGTAAAACGTTTCAGACCGCCGTTTTTGCAAAAGCATCTGTGCTTCTCAATAGAAACCATTTTCTTCCTTGGTTCTTTTTTTTCTATCTCTGGCTGCAAAACGTTTGTCGAATTAATGCATATGATCTGCAGTGCTTGAGTTTTTATAATTTCCCAATGACTCCATTTTGGTCGGCATTTTTTCAATTATTTGATTAAGGCTTCTTTTAATCATATTTCCGTCAAATTTTTTTCCCATGAAAAATACCAAAATAGTAATCCTACAGTTTCATAAATATGTGGACTCTAGCTGTGCTAGCCTGTTATAATTACCTCAAGGATTAAGTTTTGTCCACATTTTTTTTAATTGTTTGATTAAGGCTTCTTTTAATCATATTTCCATCAAAATCCTTTCTCCATATTAACGATACGAAAATAGGAATTATTTAACTTTGCAATGCGCAGGTTCTGGCTATGTTTAAGATTTTGTCCACACGTAGCCGGGTATTTTTCAAAAAACGAGGTATTTTTCTCTGTTTTGTCCTCTCGTCCATACATAACGATTATAATTACCTCAAGGATTAGGTTTTGTGTACATTTTTTTTAATTGTTTGATTAAGGCTTCTTTTAATCATATTTCCATCAAAATCCTTTCTCCATATTAACGATACGAAAATAGGAATTATTTAACTTTGCAATGCGCAGGTTCTGGCTATGTTTAAGATTTTGTCCACACGTAGCCGGGTATTTTTCAAAAAACGAGGTATTTTTCTCTGTTTTGTCCTCTCGTCCATACATAACGATTATAATTACCTCAAGGATTAGGTTTTGTCTACATTTTTTTTAATTGTTTGACTAAGGCTTCTTTTAATCATATTTCCGTCAAAATTTTTTCCCATGAAAATACCGAAATAGTAATCCTACAGTTTCATAAATATGTGGACTCTAGCTGTGCTAACCGGTTATAATTACCTCAAGGATTAAGTTTTGTCTACATTTTTTTTAATTGTTTGATTAAGGCTTCTTTTAATCATATTTCCATCAAAATTCTTTCTCCACACGAATGATGAAAAATTTCTTATTGCTTGTTTTCGTAGTATAATGACAAGTTAAAAATTGCAGAGATAATAATTGTTAAGACTCATAGCTATAATTTTTAAGACAGTTATGATACATAATATTTTTTCCAAACCAAAACTAACAATGACTTTGCATGTTATTTCACAATCTTAATTGGAGTTGTTTGAAATACATTAGGCCTGCATACATACGAGTTAATTTACTGTTTTAATACTTTAATGCCTTCATTCAATCTGAAACGCACGCTTGCCAAGGAAATAATCGATCCATTGGAAAATTACTGCTAACAAAAGAGCCTATGTCAATAATGTGCAAGTAAAAGGACTCACGCCAAAGTCTTAGGCAAAAATCATCAGTCAACGGCGAAGGCAAAGAGAGCAAAGAGAAACAACAGATAGAGGAATGGCTACATCTCAAACAATTAGGCCCATTTTGAGTAAGTTGAATTGGAATACAATTTCAATGTTAGATATGACTTTAGAAAATTAAAATTGTGATTTTGTTCATTGTTTTAGGCCAATGTGAACACTGCAAACTATGGTTGATCTGTCCATCGAGCTGCGGGCATAAAGTACATTTATCTTTGGTAGAAGAGAGGCTTGTGGAATGCTTGCCATTTCAATGTCCCATATGCTTGTAAGTCAAATAATTAATATGCTTGCTGAATATTGTAGTCGTGTTTTTTTTTATGTAATGTCCATTGCGTTATACTCTAGATGTTTTTAACGAAGAAGTCGACAGATTTCTCGAAGATTTTTTTGAGTATGTATTTTTATAATTCTTTATCTTTTGAAAATTGACACAGTATAACAGTCAGTAAGATTGATTTCCTTTTATTTCAGAGTGATTGTTGCTAGTTTTTTCCAATAAAATAAAAATGTTTTATTTCAATAAAATTTATTTAAGAATATCAACGTCCCATGTTCTAATTTGTTCTTTTTTTCTGTCAAAAATATTTTTCTCCAATCATTGCAAGTGTACTTGATACGTTCTAGCCCATTTACTATCGGAGTCATGTCTTGTAAGCTATCAAAGAAGGATTTCATGACTTCTTCCTCATCAATTTTTGATACTGCATCTTCAAAATAAATCGCTACCCTTTCATCATTAGGCATCATCAAGCATTCGTGGCGTTTTTGTGAGAGATGGTCAACGCGACAACCGTCACAGTCTTTTGCCACAAGATCATATATTTTAAAACCAATTTCAGTAGCATAGCACTTCAACAATTTATTCTGTCTATTGCTTTGGCGTTCATCTAAAACATGGCTCTCATCTTCAAATTCGAAGGACGATTCCTTCACTTTCTTTGCTTGCTCAATGTCTAATTTTAAAGCCATTTTCGTTTTAGTAAGACAAAAATTACCAAATAACTTTAACTCAATAAAATTGTAACGTGTTCTCCTTTTTTATATTTGCAAAGGAAACAAGAAAACGGACCTAATATTGCTTTAAGAATAGAAAACAATTGACAATTTTAATTAAGTTTTATCGTGTTTCAATTAATCATGTCATCCAATAGAAAACCTTCGTTCATTTTATGTCGTTTCCGATTTACACGCGCGCGCCCTGTTTACTTCCTAGGACTGGAAACTAATTGACACGGGTAAGAGCTCCGTTTACTTCCAGGACCATACCTGCACCTTAACTACTACTGTTTTGTTTATCATTATAAACTGAATAAAAACGTTTCAATTTTTCGTCACATTCTACTTCTGGTTTTTACGCTTTCTTCCATTAGTACATTTTTTTATATTTATTTGTCTTCCTGCCTTTTACTCCCTTTTCACCTTTGATTTCTTTTCCTCTGAAGACCTTTAATGAAAAATCATTACATGATGTCATATCAATGAGTTCGTTCATTGAACGGAATATGGCATTGTACACAACTAGAAGGCTGCCTTGTAAACACAAACTAAGATATTTGTTTTTGATAAGCTACTTTTTACATCCAGACACGCAGTTCAGCTGACAGTCACAACAAATTCAGTTCGCCCACGTTATACTGTTAACCGTCGAACCATTTGAACGCGAATGGATATAATAGAATACAATGCTTTATTTCCAGCAGTCAATGAAATTGTTACTTTTTGAATACTTAATGAACGCGACCCACGCTCTAACTTAATTGTTTGTAAAAATCGTTATTCATGCCTTAAGAAATGCAGTCTTTTTACATTAACTGAGCAGCGAAATATTTACATAGAAGAACCGAAATATTTACACATTGAAACAAACGCCACATAAAGAGAGTACATAAACAGAAATTCTTTTGCACACAAACAACACACACAATCATCTTACTTTGGTGGTCTTATCCCAAAGCATCGTTCCGCTTTCTGTTTTCGAATTCCTTAGAAAAAAATCTGTCTAAACTAGGTGTAACAAATCATCGTTGAGCAACCTTTGTATTTAGACTACGTTAACACTGATCCGGATTGGTCTGAAAACGGCGCAAAAAAATCTTCAGGCACTTTTTTGCCCGGAGTAGGGAAAACGTAGTCTAAGAACACGACAAACGTTAATAATCGACATAATTCAAGCAGATAATGAGATCAGTGAAATTGTACGTAAAGCGCGAGTTGTTTATGTTCACACAAGCATTTAATAATCTATTTTAAAATGGTAAATGTAAAAACCACATTTTAAAACTAGCTTAATACTAAACGGTAACGTTTTTTTTATTAGTAACACAAAAGTTCATCAGCATAATATAAAATGAAATATACTGGATAAAACAAACACAACCTAGCCTAAAAACTCAAGGTATGGGATAAAAAAAAACAAGACGCAATACTCAATTAATGATATTTCAACAATAGAGAGTAATGGCAAGGCTAGTGAAGTAGCTAATCAAGATGATAGTGGAGAAGCTACTATTGAAGAAGCCAGTGAAAAGGCAAGTGGAGATGATATTGGAGACTGTAGAGGAAAAAGGAATGAAAAAGCCAGTAGAAAATTAAGTAGAAAAGCTAGTGGAGAAGCATGTGAAGAAGCCAAATGAGAAACCAATGGAAATGCTGATGTAGAAGCGCCAATGGAGAACGTAGTCAAGAAACCGGACAAGAAGGTCGTGGAGAAGCAGGTTGAAATGCTTGTGTAGAAGCTAGTGAACATTCAAGCGGACTGTAAAAAATACTGGATTTATCTTTCAGACTATCCCCCATTGTGCTTCTACATCCTACTATACCTTTCTTTGCAAATTCTTGCCATTTTGTTAGTGGTTTTGGTTTGGGAATCTGTGAAATAGAAGTATTCAAATTTCAAGATTACATTAAAAAAGTGGAAAATTTGAATAAGTTAATACATTTAGGCAGTGACGTAGCTAGACAAAAACAACTGGTTGTGCTATAGCGAGAACAGAAATTAAGCTCCAGTACAGTTGGTGGCAACATAAGTTATCTGTGCCATCGGTTATGTAGGCTTCAATGTGCGACTTTGATATTTCATGCTTTTGGCAAATCGCCCAGTAAATAGTGCATGTCAACATAATCAATTTGAGTCAGTGTAGTGGAATTTGAACGAAACAGTAAATAAATAACTGGCTTTTATGCGTCGAAGTTGTACAAAAGCGCATGAGTTAGATGTGAACACATAGGGCTTGTTCATGCATGTTCATATCAATTTTAAAGCTAAGCAGCCAAATTTAACTGTGTTTTCAAAAGTTAAGTATGCTCCATAGGATAGTTAACATTACCTACTTTTAGGTGCAGTTAGCACTAATTACTTTTTTATACAACCGACTTAACCACGTGGTTAAATTTAACTACTTTTTAACTGCAAAAAGTGTAGTTAAAAAGTAGTTAAGAGCTTTATTTAACCGAACCCTGATAATTAAGACGAGCACGTTATCCTTTAGCACTTAAGACTAATTGAGATTTTATGCATAAAGGTAGTCAACGATTCCTTTCTGTCTTCAAGTTGTAAATAAAGCCCCAATATACAAAAGCAATTGTTCATGTTCCATTGTACTTAATCTTTTGTTATGCTCCATGTGACGATTTACTTTGACTTATTCTTGAATAATTAAAACCATTATTGTATATAAAACATGGATTAATCAATATTTCTTTCTTTTCTCGACGATTCTCCTTGTGTCCTTTAGTTCCTACTCAGCTGTTCTATTTCTCCTTGCAGAGCACTATTGTCTTTATGTCGCTTGTTTCTTAGGCATTTAGTTGTCTTGTTGGGATAACATATGTCTTATATCTGTCTCAGCTTTGATTGTTAGTATCTCTGGAACGTCTCCTCACGTTGTAGTGCTATTTCGCTTCATTATTCATATTTTATTATCTTGCTTCGTAGACTTTGAGTTATCCTTGTGCTGGGATTTAATTCACTTGTATTTAGTGAGAATGAGTCTTGAATATTTATATGCAATCATTAGCTTTATGGTCAGTAAAATCGCAATGCAAACGCTGAGTCCTCGGCATTTAGTTTTCTTGTTGGGGTAACATATCTCTTATATCTGTCTCTTCTTTTATTGTTAGTATCTCTGGAAATAGTTCGCTTCATTATTCTTATTTTGTTGTCTTGCTTGTAGACTTTGTCCTTGTACTGGGATAATTCACTTGTATTTAGTGAGAACGAGTCTTGAATATTTATATGCAATCATTAGCTTTATGGTCAGTAAAATCGCAATGCAAACGCTTAGTCGTCGGCATTTACTTTTCTTGTTGGGATAACATATCTCTTATATCTGTCTCAACTTTTATTGTTAGAATCTCTGGAATGTCTTCTCATGTTGCATTGCCCTTTCGCTTATTATTCTTATTTTGTTGTCTTGCTTCGTAGACTGAGCTATTTTTGTGCTGGGATTTATGTATCATTATATCTATTTACAATTGGGTAATTGAAAAGGCTTTATAAGACTTGTTTCGTCGGTACTATGTATTCTTGTATGTTTTCTTTTGCGTTCAGCTTGCTTTTAGTAAGAATGTGTCTTGAATCTTTATATTCAATCATTAGCTTTATGGTCATTAAAATCGCAATAAAAACGTTTCCTTCTTTAATGAGAAAGCAATATCTTTATAGAAGTATCTCTCATTTTATTCTCTCTTTTTATAAATTGTGAATGGTTGTGTTTAACTGTTGTATTGCTATTTCGCTAGTTTTGTACGCTTTATTATTCTTATTTTGTTGTCTTGCTTCGTAGACTTTGAATTATCTTTGTGCTGGGATTTATGTATCATTATATTTATTTTACAATTGTGTAATTAAAAATTACTTCATATGGCTTGTTTCATCGGTACTTGGTATTCTGGTATGTTTTGTTTGGGTTTGTTTCTGTTGTTTTGTTTTGTAGGCCAAGTTGGGTTACGTTATTGAGGGTCATTTTGGTTATACATATTTTTATATCGAGAGCGGTTTATACCAATCCTTGACTTTTCTTTAAGACTATTGCTTCATTTGTGGGTTGTTGAGAGAAACTTTGATTTCCGATGTGATGTTTGGTTTGCAAAATATTTTCAACCTTGTTCGCCTGTATTTTACAGTGTTTTCTTGCAAGACAGTACAATATTAGTGTGTATATTTATGTTCAACATAGTCCACTTGTGCTCAGGTAACTAATAATGAAATAACAGATTAAATGAAGTAAAGCTTTGTTATATAATTGCGCAAATTTTAGTGCACAAAGAAAATTTCCATTATTAAAACAGGCACTTCTAAACAGGCGCTAAGGTGCTTATATTTGACATTAGTTTTACATTTCGTGTAAAATAATATCATTCGATCGCTTGGCCAAGGTACGTGAAGATGTTCAGTGTTTAGGTTTTTTCAATGTGAAAATTTTATTTATAATGTATCCTACAAAATGAAACAGAAAATGCACAAGACATAACTGTAATTTTTATTGTCTATTAAGGCGAAAGTAAAATATGTACCAAATTTAATAAACTCATTATGTTTTGTACGCAATTGTACACTTTGCCATTCCTTATCTTCGTATCCTTTTTTACCCCCACTGCACATTGTTTGTCTCATATTTAAGAATTATGACTATCCACACAGTGTTTGAAAGAGGTTAGGCTCTGATATTAAACTCCTCGACGGCTTCCCCGGGTGCAGTTGAAACTAGTCGTTTCTTTTACTAAGATTTTGTCTTGACCATTGTACAAGAAATGAAATTAATTTTTGACACCATTGATGATCGTAACAATTTCCTTAATAATTCAATGTTTAAATAATTGCTTAACACCAAACAGTCAAGTGAACAAATGATCGTTCAAAATGAATAAGTAACGAAAACCAGAGATCTAATGAAAAATATGCAATGATTAGGTCGATTTTCGTTACATGTAATCGCAAAAGTCTATTCATAAGGAAATAACACAACGTGTGGGGTGAATTTTCACTTATTAATAATTGACTTTATGACAGAAATAGGATATCTATACCACGACATCAATATTTTAATCTTCATTCTTTGGTTGTCAAATAAGTATTTGTTGCTGCAACTTTTGAGGCGTGATTAAAAAGCGATCTAATCCAATCAGTTTATTTGTGAAACGTCATGGTTAAGAATTGACACCGAAGATTTATCTTATGCACTTATATTCTTTTTTTAACGTTTTATTTAAACAACTCTCAGAAGGATTAGTCTAAGAACTTTTGTTAAATTTATATGCATATTCATCACAATTATTAAACTTCGTAATCGGCAATTCTCTTCCAAATGGCATTCTGAACAGATTTTTTCTTCTCATCGTATCGATTTTGAGTAGCTATCACTACTTTTAAAGGTGCTAAGACATTTTGCTAAAAAAAATACAGCATTGCAACTTGACATAAAATTCAACATATTTGGACACTAAGAATGTTGGCATGAGGTAATCGATTAGCTACGAAGCTTCCTACACTGGAATCTTTACAGCTAAAATCTTTGCCATAAATAAGCAACAGAAGCCAAGACTATAGAAAGGTAGCAACGTATATAACACCAAAATCAGTCACCAGCCAGCAATTTTAAGTAGAATAATATGAAACACACTAAAATAAAAAGTTCATGTTTAACTAAATAAGCAAATAAAAAAAGAAGACCATTTTTTATTGTAACATATACATTGAATGAATTCGAAATATGAATTTTATATTATTAAAAATTGTCTTAAAACTCATCCGAAGCATGATTGCCATTTGTCGTTATTTTGTTGTCGTCGACATAAATAATATGTACGCAATTAAGCATGCAGAAATTTTAGCACCGCATCATTATTTTAGGATTTTAGAATCACTTTCATGGCAGTAGTTAAGGTGCAGGTATGGTCCCGGAAATAAACGGAGCTCTTACCCGTGTCAATTAGTTTCCAGTCCTAGGAAGTAAGCAGGGCGCACACGTGTAAACCGGAAACGACGTAAAATGAACGAAGGTTACTATTGGATGACATGATTAATTGCAACACGATAAAACTTAATTAAAATTGCCAATTGGTTTCTATTCTTAAAGCAATATTAGATCCGCTTTCTTGTTTCCTTTGCAAATATAGAAAAGGAGAACACGTTACAATTTGATTGAGTTAAAGTTATTTGGTAATTTGTGTCTTACTAAAACAAAAATGGCTTTAAAAGTAGACATTGAGCAAGCAAAGAAAGTGAAGGAATCGTCCTTCGAATTTGTAGATGAGAGCCATGTTTTAGATAAACGCCAAAGCAATATACAGAATAAATTGTTAAAGTGCTATGCTACTGAAATTGGTTTTAAAATATATGATCTTGTGGCAAAAGACTGTGACGGTTGTCACTTTGACCAACCCTCACAAAAACGCCATGAATGCTTGATTATGCCTAATGATGAAAGGGTAGCGATTTACTTTGAAGATGCAGTATCAAAAATTGATGAGGAAAAAGTCATGAAATCCTTCTTTGATAGCTTACAAGACATGACTCCGATAGTAAATGGGCTAGAACGTATCAAGTACACTTGCAATGATTGGAGAAAAATATTTTTGACAGAAAAAAAGAACAAATTAGAACATGAGACGTTGATATTCTTAAATAAATTTTATTGAAATAAAACATTTTTATTTTATTGGAAAAAACTAGCAACGATCACTCTAAAATAAAAAGAAATCAATCTTACTGACTGTTCTACTGTATCAATTTTCAAAAGATAAAGAATTATAAAAATACATACTCAAAAAAATCTTCGAGAAATCTGTCGACTTCTTCGTTAAAAACATCTAGAGTATAACGCAATGGACATTACATAAAAAAAAAACACGACTACAACATTCAGCAAGCATATTAATTATTTGACTTACAAGCATATGGGACATTGAAATGGCAAGCATTCCACAAGCCTCTCTTCTACCAAAGATAGATGTACTTTATGCCCGCAGCTCGGTGGACAGATCAACCATAGTTTGCAGTGTTCACATTGGCCTAAAACAATGAACAAAATCACAACTTAAATTTTCTAAAGTCATATCTAACATTGAAATTGTATTCTAATTCAACTTACTCAAAATTGGCATTATTTTATTCTGTGTAGCCATTTTAGATGTTTAGATGTTTTCTTCGCCGTTTGCCGAAGACTTTGCCTGTGACTTTGGCGTGAGTGCTTTTACATGCACATTATTGACAAAGGCTCTTTGTTAGCAGTAATTTTCAAATGGATCGATTATTTCCTTGGCATGCGTGCGTTTAAGATTGAGTGAAGGCATTAAAGTGTTAAAACAATAAATTAACTCTTATGTCTGCAGGCCTAATGTATTTAAAGCACCATCAATTAAGATTGTGAAATAACGTCCAAGGTCATTATCCGTTTTGGTTTGGAAAAAATATTATGTCTCATAACTGTCTTAAAAATTATAGCTATGAGTTTTAACAATTATTATCTCTACAATTTTTAACTTGTCATTATACTGTGAAAACAAGCAAGAAGAAATTTTTCATCATTCGTGTGGAGAAAGAATTTTGATGGAAATGTGATAAAAAATAACCTTAATCAAACAATCAAAAAATGCAGACAAAACTTAATTCTTGATGTAATTATAATCGGCTAGCACAGCTAGAGCCCACATATTTACGAATCTGTAGGTTTACTATTTTGGTATTTTTCATGGGAAAAAATTTTGACGGAAATATGATTAAAAGAAGCACAAATGCTTTTGCAAGAACGGCGGTCTGAAACGTTTTACTTCCAACGAGGAGCGCGCCTTCTTAAAGTGCGTCAAAGAAAAATGTAATTTATTCACGCAGAAGAAAAGTACTTGCAGCTTATAGACGTGTACAATAAGAATGTGCTGAAGGAATTCAAGGCGAACCGTTTTCCACTCTGCAAGTGCCAAGTGTTTGTATGTCTGTGGGTATCGAACTCGGCCAACAATCCTGGCCGACCCTACTTTCGTTGCAAGTATATGGCAAGTGAAAAGAAATGTTCATTCTTTCATTGGGCTGACGAATCGATGAAAGGCATTGGAAAAACTAAAAAACCATCAGCGCCCAAAAGAGAGTCGAGCACCAAGGTACCAAAAGCTTAAGAATCAAAGCGCTCCAAAATAATTGTGGAAAATTCATTCGATGATGAAGAAAACTGATGTCCAAAGACATAATTTACAAACTTTAAATTTTTAAATTTCATATAATCTTGATGTGTTCACAATATAATCTATGTATGAATTTAAATTTCAAAACTATTTTTTGCTTATTACATCATGACATGCGCAATGACGATCTCTGTAGGGGGCAAAGTACTATAAGAAAAGGGCTAGGTTGGATCTATTTTATATTAGGTTAGCTTGACCAAGAGTGATCAATAGTAGTTTCTTAATTTGTTTTGATATGGATTCATATGACCTGCGTTTGAAGAAACGTGCTGAGCGTAAAAATGCGAAAGCAAAACGTCTTATAAGAAAAATCCAGAAAGAATTGGCTAAACCAATATCGGACTTACGCAAAGTCTTACGTTGGCAAGAAAAAACTGCCAAGCTACTAGAACAAAAGTTCAAGCTGCTGAAAAAAAGAGATGACCGTTTGGCTAATGTCTCCCAAGACACAATACACTTCAATGTGGAGAAGATATCCGAAAAACACGTGAAAAAGTTTGGTGCATCAGCGTGTGTTTTCAGGGCTACGATGGAGAGACCTAGATATGATAAAGTGTACAAGATTAAAGATATTGTTAATGAATTAAACGAACTTTTTGCAAATACAATTGATCAGGTATAAGAAAATACTTCTTTATTTTCATGCTTTTCCCTCACATAGCTTAAATCAAGAAAATGTTCTTTTTTTTTTACACGCAGGTAAAGAAGGCGTGTGATTTAGTCACACCTCTAGATAACAGAATGCGAATCATGATCCGCTCGAGCGAACTCAAGTCCCCCATAAGCACGCAAGAATCCAAAACTCAAGGCCATAGCGGACAAGAATCCCAAACTCAAACAATTTAAGCGGGGTAAAGCTATTCAGAAGCGAGAAGCTTTGAAATTATACGAGAAGGGCAATATTTCCTATGGACCTTGTGGACTACGGGAGTTGTCGAAGTTTCAAGGGATTCTATTAGATTATCAAATTCAGGTTATTGATTTTAGTGCTCGAAATACAGTAATTTTTGAGGGGCCCCCCAAAAATAGAAATCTTATTTTATACAAACAAGGTGATCATTACAATGTTATTAACCCTGCGAAACTTCCGGCTTTCCACGGTGAACGTTTCTACTGTGACGAATGCTTTCAGTTCTTCAAAAATGCTTTAAATCACCCTTGTTTTAATGTCTGTAAAACGTGCAGACAAAAAGACTGCGTTGAGATTTCAGATGATAAATATATGTGTTCGGATTGTTTCAAGATTTGTCGCTCTGCTGCATGTTTTAATCGTCATAAAAAATCGCGTCGGTCCAAAAGGGTTGACTTGCCATCAATGTGTGACAAGTCGTTTCGATGTCAAATGTGTTCATCTATAGTTGACAAAGACAGACAAAACGAACATCGCTGTGGGGAAACTGTATGTCATATATGCAATAAGTTTGTACTTGATGATCATTTATGTTTCATGCAAACGGAAAACCCAAAACCCAAGAATGATAGTCTAATATTTTACGATTTTGAGACAGATTTTTCAACCGGAGAACATGTGGTTAATTTTGCTGTTGCACAATATTTAGACGGTACAGAATTTGTTTTCAAGGGTTACAACGCATTGAACGAGTTTTGTTCCTTCTTATTTTCAAGAGAACATAAAGGTTTTACAGCAATTGCCCATAATTCTAAGGCATTTGACGGTGTTTTCATTCAGAGATGGTTAATTGAATACAGACCGACTGCTGATATACATGTTATTAATTCGGGACAGAAAATTATGCAACTGACAGTGAAAGATTATCAAATCCGTTTAATTGACTCGCTGATCTTTTTTACAAATGCCTTTAGCTAAATTTCCTAAAACATTTGGACTCGATGAAACAAAATTTTCCAAAGGTGACTTTCCGTTTTTGTTTAATACAATAGAAAATCAAAATTATGTTGGCCCGATACCTGATATTAAATATTACAGTCCTGATTCAAAGTTCGAAAAAGATCGCACCAAATTGATTGCGTGGCATAAAGAACGAAAGAAAAATAACTTTGTCTTTGATTTCCAAAAGGAAATGGCTAAATACTGCTCTCAAGACGTTACCATACTGCGTTTATGTTGTTTGTAATTTAGGGATTTATTTCTCGCAGAGACTAAAGTTGATCCATTCTGTTATTATACTATTGCAGCAGCCGTAATGGCAATTTATCGGTCAAAATATCTTCAACCAAACACAATAGGAATCGTACCGAAAAATATGTATCGAAATTCAAATAAACCCTTCTCTCAAAGCGCAATCGTGTGGCTTGAATTTGTATCTGCGCAAACTAACTGCAAAATACAACACGCTCTCAATGGCGGAGAAAAAAAAGTTGAAGATCCGGAATTAGGTACTATTAAGTGTACTATGTCGACGGCTTTTGTGAAGAAACAAACACTATATTTTCTTTTTATGGCTGTCTTTATAATTGGGTTACGAGGTTAAGACGGTTTGGGAACATGACTATTGTAAACTTAAGGAAACGGACGAAACGAAACATTTTTTGGATACAAATGACATTGTAACAAATCTTGAACCACGCGATGCGTTTTTTGGTGGCAGAGTCAATGGGTTTAAGCTTTTTAGGGACGCCCAACAAGATGAAACAATTGAATATGTTGATTTTACATAGTTGTATCCTTACGTTAACAAAACAAAAGTTTATCCTATAGGTCATCCAACAATTATTCGCGAGAATTTTGAAACAATTTCGAATTATTTCGGACTAATAAAATGCAAAGTTTTAGCACCCAGAAATTTGTATATTCCAATTTTACCTGCACGAATAAAGGATAAACTCTTTTTTCCTTTATGTAAACAGTGTGTTGTACAAAACTTTTCAGTGTGTACTCATTCGGAAAATGAGCCTGCTTTTTGGGGTACTTTTACCACAGTTGAAGTGCTGAAAGCTATCGAAAAAGGATATAAGGTAATTGAAATTTTTGAAATTTGGCACTTTGAAAACACAAGCTCGGATTTGTTTTCGGATTATGTGAATTATTTTCTCCGTATAAAGCAGGAGAGTTCAGGATTTCCGAGTCGTATACAAACTCCTGAGGACAGACAGAAATACGTGGCCGACTATTATGAAAACGAGGGAATACTGTTAAGGCATGATATAATAGACTATAATCCAGGCTTAAGAGCATTGGCTAAGCTATGTCTTAACAGCTTGTGGGGTAAATTTTGTCAAAAAGACAATCGACTAAATACAGAATTCATTAATGATCCTCTACATTTCTACAGACGTTTGAACGGGGCCGACATTGAAATGCACGATCTTTGCATCTTGAATGATGATTTAGTCGAAATTGTCTTTAAGAGAAAGCATGAGTATGAAGTAGAAAACAAACTAAGAAATATCTTCATAGGAATTTTTACAACTGCATGGGCTAGATTAGAACTTTACAATGTGATGGATCTTTTACAAGATAGTCTTTTATATTGCGATACAGATAGTTGTATTTATGTAAATGAACCGGGGGGTCCAAGGCCAATCTTAGGGGATTACCTGGGTAATTTAACAAACGAAATCACTCAAGAACATGGGGAAGGTAGTTACATTACAAGATTTGCATGTGGGGGTCCAAAAAATTACGCGTACGTTGTAAATAATGGGAAAAAACATTGTAAGATACGAGGTTTTACTTTGAATTTTAAAAATAGCCAAATTCTTAATTTTGATTCTATGTATGAAATGGTATCTAACTATGTACGTTCAGATGACGAAAATAAGAAAAATAAAATAGATGTTGTAAATAACAGTAAAATAACACGAGAAAAACGGACTCGTCGGCTTGTCAACAAGAAAGAAGTAAAGCAATATTAGATCGTCTACGACAAAAGAATAATTGTCAACTCTGGTGAAGACACAATACCTTACGGATATTATTGGTCACCAGCGTCTAACTCTGCTAGTCCGTCTGTAAAGCCCATTATACATCTTCCAGATTCAATGCTTTATACAATGGTACAGCGCACGTTATTAGGGTGTAGAGTAAATCATAGCTGTGTTGATGACAAAGCTAACGATGAGACATGTAGTTATGTAGTATAAAGATGTTGTTAAGGATGGTGATGACGGTGACATGATTTTTGAGAATGAAGAAAACGCAAACGATATTAGTTTATTGGAAACTGACGACGAGGAAGATATGGATTTTGAATCAGAGAACGAATAAGATAAAACATTTATAAATGACATTGACATGTCTGAAGATGAAAATAATGTTTCTTTTTATCGAAGGTTTAATAGTAATTATTAATTTAATGTTTATTGACATCGTATTAATATTTTCAAAGATACATTTAAAAAGTAGTTAATCCATGTCCATCATATTTTCAATGTTCAATTTATAATAATGATGAATATTTACACCCTCATCATTCTCCAACTGTTTGATATTTTTCGCAATTCTATCTCATAGGTCGTGGACCATTACTTCTTTTGCATTTGCACGATAAACGAAGTATGTTGGATGTTGCATTGCTTTTGGTACTGAGAGACGATCCAAGGTTTCTAACATTATTTGTGCCAATAGAATGATGTGAAGGCTTTGACTGTTCATAATTCTAGTTGGAATAATATTGGCATATGCCAAATGCCTTATCAAGTCTGTTATACAATGTTGACTATTGCTTCCTTGAGTTGAAGAAACCCAACTTTTCACAACGTCTTGCCATGTGAACGACATGATTAACTAATCAATTGATGAAAGAAAATGTTTGCGATTGCTTATGTGCTCAGTGTTTTAGAGTCGAACATCCAATCAGCTTCTTGTTGATCAAGTATTTAACTTGTTTATAGAGTATATTTAATTGATATATGCATGATGGTATATAGTCTGTTGTAAAACAATTCTGTTTTCATTTGCAAGACAATGGACGTGCGTTTTAAAACACCAGCTAACTTTTACATTAGCGGGCAAAGCCAATCTGGTAAGAGTCATCTCGTAAGGTCGATGCTTTATAATTTGACCCAGTTGTTTCACCCAGTTCCAAATAAAATCATTTACTGCTATGGCGAAACTTAGATGGAATTTGACGAAATGGTTAAAAGGATACCGAATGTATTTTTTGTTGGAGGGTTCCCTGACAACTTGACTGATATTTTGGAAGGATGTCAAAACTCTTTAGTCATTGTAGACGATCTTATGTCAGAATGTTCTAATGATCAACGAATGTCTGATTTATTCACCCGCGGGTCCCATCATCGAGGGATATCTGTCATGTATTTAACGCAAAATTTATTCCCTCCGGGTAAGCAATCAAGAACGATAAGCCTTAACTCCCATTATATGATCATTTTTAAAAACCCAAGAGATTCTCTAGTTATTTTAACTTTGGCCCGTCAAATGTACCCTAAACATGTCAACTACATTTTGGAGTCGTTTCAAGACGCTACGAGTCGTGCATACGGCTATCTCATGCTCGATTTACATCAATTAACCCCTGACAATTTGCGTGTCAGAACAAACATTTTGCCTGATGAAAAGCACATTGTGTATGTACAAAAGCGATAAGCATCGACAGAAACACTCATAAACGCATCATGTCGAAACGAATGAAGAACTATATTCCTTATCTGCAAGTTCTAGCTAAATCAAAACCAAACGTTCGAAAGGTGATAATTGAGCATGGACCCTCTGACGTTATTGTGTGCATATGTGAATGTGCTATCAATGTTTTAGAAGGAACTGTGCCAGTATCTGCCAGTCAAAAGCGAGTGTTGTGAAGGTAAAAGAAACACCTGAGAGCACTGGCTAACAAAAAAATCTCACGAGCAAAGAAGAAAAAACTTTTGAATCAGAAAGGAGGAAATTTACTGACTGCTTTACTGCCGCCTGTTATAAGTGTATTGGGAAGTTTGTTCACAAAATGAAACATGTCAAACGTATGATTCTTGTTCCTGAAGATGTATTTAACAGATACGAAAAACAACAAAAACTTGAAACTAGTCCGATCATGATGAATATGATAAATAAAGACTCGCAGCTCTCACATATTCTTCAACAAGACGACATGAGTGACGATCAAAGACAAAAAGTTTTTAACGCAGACTTTGAACAATTCCTTAAATTGAAGCAACAGAATGATAATCAAATACCCATGGTACGCGTGGTAGACACTGTTGGTGGGAATGAAAAAAACATAATAAGTGACAACGAAAATCAGACATTAGCTGACTCTGTCATTGTACAAAGTGTGCCAAAAACTATGCGTGAGCGGGCGAAAGCAATATTGCAACGTCTTAGAACACACCAAGTATAATATCTTGGGACGGTTTTGGACAAGTCAAACTTGAGGGAGTCACCATTCCGCAATCAAACATAACAGATCTAATTAGCGATGCTGTGAGAGGAAGGAAAAAATTCAATCCTAAAGGGTCTAAAGAATTCTTTCGTGTTTTATCAAAAATAAACATTCCTCGAGATTTGGTTAGGAACGATATGAGATGGAAGAAGGCTCAAATGGAAACTTCACCACATGAAGAAAACGAAACAGTTTATCCTAGTTCATCAAAAACGAAATTCACAATGCCCAATGCTTCAACCACACACAAGAAAACTCGTTTACGTTGGTTAAGCTATTAATATATCTTGTAAAGGATTTTTTCTTTAAATAAAAATCGCAGTTGATATCATTTTCCTCATTGTTGTCAATGAAAATATGTAAATACAAAATGAAAGCAATTAAGTCACACAAAGAACTTTTTATTGATTATTAAACACTTCAATCTTTTACAAATAAGTTTGTACTTGACTGATTTCCGTCGTTAGGAATTACACCAGTTTCTATTTGAAAATGTTTGTTTACAAAATTTGATACCTTCTTATCGTTTTCAACAGTATTACCATCAAACATACTTACAATTCTACTCATACTATGGCCTCGTACTCTTTGGCTTAGGTAAAATATACAATATTGTCCACATATATCGGTCCAAATACTTTGTAATTTGCGTGCATTAAAATCCCAATCATAATGTTTCAAATAGTCTCTAAAGAATTATGATAATTCTCAGGCGACTGGCCATAGCTGTCGAAGAATTCGGCTTTTCGTTCAGACGGAAAGTAAAATGCAAACCAATGACTTCAGGTTTTCCGCTGATTTCAATGTTTGCTATTAACCCATTCGGATAGCTTTTTATTACTTTAGGTAGACGATTGGCTGGAAAAACACCAAGAAATTTCTTGCTTGTAACAGGATCCGATCTCAAAGCAGACGATATTTGTGAGGTGTTAATTTAACCAATATAGTCATAGACAACATTCCTCTTAGAATCGATAAAGATCACGTTTTCAAACTCTCCATAGCACACAAGACTAACAGCATTAGTTGGTGCTGTTGAGAATTGTATGTCAATGGCAAGATTTCCTTTTTGCACTGTATTAAAATGTTCTCCCGTACCACACATATCAGGCGTCAAATCAAAACAGTACAAAGCAAAACCCTTTAGAAACTCGTCACGATCAATTCCATTTCCGGCGTTCAAAAACATTTTCCCAGTGCCAGAAATTGTGATAGAAATGCTTCTATGTATCTAGGATTGTTACCAAAAGACAGCTTGAAAGGCTTAGATGGTAGAGATTCGCCGTTTACAGAAATGCCTAAGGATGAAACGTTGAAATGCTGGAAATTGAATGGGTTTAATTTATAAGCACCATTGAATGCAGCACTTGCAACAAGCCCAACGACAAGTGATTTCGGTACAAAACCGTTGAAAAGATTATCTTTTTGCAACGATGGGTTTCCTGATGGAATGATGAAACTTTTGCAGTCCACACGCCTTACAGGGTAAACGGCTGGGCTTTTTTCAGTGCAACTTCGTGAGACATAGCTCTACTAGGATTCACTTTAACTTTGCGATCTTTTAGATGAACATCCACCAGCTTCACTTTAAATGCTGCATCGTCCTCGGATGCCATTAGGGCAAACTCGTCTCTGGTACGGTTCACTACCACTTTCAAATCAACATAGCTAAGCAGGAGGCGTTCACCGAAGAAAACATCACAAAATATAGGGCCTCCCATTTCGACAACTGCACTTCTCGCAGTAAACTTACTTCGTGTTTTCAAGCCTTTGTTTGGACTGGCGTTTGCTGGGTCGGCAACCTCCATTTTTGAAACTTCGTCTTGTAAAACAACGCAGCTGTCAGCTGGGATTGTTTAGGTGATGGAAAATAATTCAAAAGTGTATCGATTTATGCACGATAAGGATAAGTTCCTGTCGCTTGGGTTACTAGCTTCCCTTTCAAAAACACATCAACTTGCTTAAACAAACTATGCAAGAAATTGTTCACCAGCCCTACTTTAGCGCCATCGTTGAGATTTCCACCGTAAGCTTTTGTTACTTTTGCTCTGACCATCAGCATTGTGTTAGACAAGTCAACATAATCTTCTGTACCTGGCGCTAAAAAGGTAATCGGACCGCTTTCCGATACACTAGAGACAGGTGGATGGTCTATCCATCGCCCCTTTTCCAAACTGGTTTGCGTTGGGGGAACGAAAAATATATCAAGTTCACTTTTTACACATTCTGCTGATTTTGGATGAACGAACTCCATATTTAACCGAAAATATCTTCTGCTTCTTTAGCTGCTTTATGTCTCTTGGCTGAACGGTAAATGACATGAGAAGACGATGCTTTTCTCTTTTTAGCTGTTTTTTTTGCCTGTTTCTTCTGGGGTTTTCCTCTTCCTGTTTGAGCAAACTGTTGTATACGGTTTACAGCTTTTTTCCCTGTTTCCTTTGCTGCTTGATTAACACGAGAGTTTGCAGACTTTTTAAAACTTTTCCCTGAGATAACATCACCCAAAACGTTTGCAACCTGTATCGAGGGCAATTTTACCTAGAGCTTTTGCGCCGGTTTTTGCCAAAGGTATTGCAGCTCTAGCCAATCTACGAAATAAACCACCAAGACCATAACCCATCTGCCCATAACCTTTTTCCCAGGATGCTCCTCTAAAGACAGGTTGTGATCCATATCCTTTTTGCTGATTGAGATAATATTGAACATAACGGTTTGTTCTACTCATATTTTTTTTTCTTATGTAAAATAAGATGAGGATTGTTTTCTGAAATGAAGTGTCACTATCGACTTTCCTCGTTCAAATGCGATGGGATTTCCTAACTCGTCCCTTAAGAGAATTTCGATGTCCTCAAAAGATTTTGTTTGCACGGGTAATTATTGGATATTAGTGAATGTTCTTGAAACAATGTCTCCATATTTTCCTTGAATAGCAACTGCCTTTAGTAATTTTACATTGACGTCTCCAACAACTTGCGGTTGTACAATGTTGCAATATACATACATCATGACGGATCCGTGCAAGTCACAAGCATAAGGACTTTCGGTTGTTTTTGAAATCTCTACGACTTTTCCGCCAAACCCGAGTAAGACCGACATTCGTTGATTAAATGATATTCTGTAACCCTGTCTTACATGCACTTTAATTTTTTCTGTTCGTGGGTCAAAGCTCAATTTGATATTGTCTTTTACTTCATTGTCAAGAGTCTCAATAACTGATTTTACTAGGTCGAAGGCTTTTTCATACAAGCCATAGTCGACAAATACCGGAGTAGGTAGACCTGTTTTGTAAGTTACATATATATGTGTATCCAAACCTTTTTTCAACGTGTACCATGTATGAGGATATGTAATTAAATACAATCCTACTTCCCAATTACCATATAAATCCACAACGTGAGGTAATTTTACACGATAACCTGAAACTTTATTATCTGGAAATATAGGCAGAGATGCATTACTAGGTAATGTCAACTAAAAGTGTGTTCCGCTCATCTTTGATATAAATTGTAAAATGAAAGAGATCAAGCACACAGTTACGTTTTATACATGTATTTCTGAAGCAGGTACCCAAGAATTAAATTCATTTGGGTAACCTGACCACTTTACAAGATATTGTACATTACTCCCTCTGCCCCGTTTCTTAAGTATTTTCTCAATGTCGTAAACATCGTCTTTCTTGATAACTTTTTGAAGTTCTTTTTCATAAAACGTTCCTTTCAGTTCTTCCCCATCATAATCCTTTAGCCTGTATACAGGAGGATTACGTGGTATTTTTTGAATTACAGTGAAAATTTCCGTTGAAAAATTTGGTAAATATCCCTTCTCAAACTTTCGTTTTATTTTACTTATTCGTACTTGATCACCAATATCAAACTTATATTTTACATGTGTATGTTTATTTAGTTTGCTATCCTCGTATAGATTTTGCCAGATTCTATCTTCATTTTCACTTGTAACGTTGATCGGTTTTTCCTTGATGCTACGATGCATACTATGATTATAAGAATAAATAAGGTCGGGCAACATGTTGATGTATCTCATCGTTTTATTTGCGGTAAAGTAACGCCACATTTTTGCTTTCAGTGTACGTATCAAACGTTCAGCAATCGATGCCTTTGTCTCGTTAAATGTGTTGAACAATGTAATGTTTTCTTCTGTCATGAGTTTCTTAAAGTCCCGATTGAAAAATTCCGAGCCTTGATCCGTTTGAATGTGAATCGGCTTGCGTCCTGATGATAATATCTTCTGAAAAGCGTTCACTAATGTACGGCCTGATTTGGTTTTCAATGGAACAGCGAAAGCATACTTTGAAAAAACATCGATACAGATAAGAAGATACCGATAACCTTCGTTATACTTTTGTAGAGATTGTAAGTCTGCCAAATCCAATTGCCATTGGTCATCGATACCGCTCACTAGAACGCGATTTCTTTCAAACTTTCTTCGAATTGGTTTATGTATTGTATATGCATCTTGCTGGCTCAACCATTCTTTAACTTTTTTACGACTAATATCATATATTCCTAAGGTTTTCACATCATTGTACAAACGTTCAACACCCCCATAGCTTCCTGAACGTTTGGATCAAAGTACACACTGGCTAGGTACTTGTCGGTGTCACTCATGGTAATGTTCTCGAGATAATAATTTTGCAAATATGTGTCAATTACTTTTAATTACTCATAATTGAGGGTTCAATGTTCTAGTTTACAGGTGACGTTTCCTCCACTGTGTTATCTGTTACAGCCTTAACTGCTACAGGTCAATAATTTTTGACCGTTTTACTTGTGTATCCTGCTTGCAAATGACCCTCAAGATTGAGATCGTTGCGTCCGAAACTTATACCCGAGCGAAACATTTTCTGACGATTATGATTTTTATCACCGACTTAATTTGTTTATCTAACACTTAAAAGTGAACGATAGTCAAAAATCCCGGCACCAGTTAACTTTGAGCATATCCGAATACGTTTTATTGATGAATACATTTCCGCTTTTCTCCTGCACGAAAAAGAATAGAGGTTCACCTTAATTCAACATTTGACATTGAAACTGTTTTGTTTATCATTATAAACTGAATAAAAACGTTTCAATTTTTCGTCACATTCTACTTCTGGTTTTTACGCTTTCTTCCATTAGTACATTTTTTTATATTTATTTGTCTTCCTGCCTTTTACTCCCTTTTCACCTTGAGATTTCTTTTCCTCTGAAGACCTTTAATGATAAATCATTACATGATGTCATATCAATGAGTTCGTTCATTGAACGGAATATGGCATTGTATGCAACTAGAAGGCTGCCATGTAAACACAAACTAAGATATTTGTTTTTGATAAGCTACTTTTTACATCCAGACACGCAGTTAAGCTGACAGTCACAACAAATTCAGTTCGCCCACGTTATACTGTTAACCGTCGAACCAGTTGAACGCGAATGGATATAATAGTATACAATGCTTTATTTCCAGCAGTCAATGAAATTGTTACTTTTTGAATAATTAATGAACGCGACCCACGCTCTAACGTAAATGTTTGTAAAAATCATTACTCATGCCTTAAGAATGTAGTCTTTTTACATTAACTGAGCAGCGAAATATTTACATAGAAGAACCGAAATATTTACACATTGAAACAAACGCCACATTACGAGAGCACATAAACAAAAATCCTTTTACAGAAATACAACACACACAATCATCTTGCTTTGGTGGTCTTATCCCAAAGCATCTTTCCGCGTTTCTGTTTTCGAATTCCCTAGAAAAAAAATCTGTCTAAACTAGGTGTAACAAATTATCTTTGAGGGACCTTTGTATTTAGACTACGTAAACACTGATTCGGATTGGTCTGAAAACGGCGCAAAAAAAATCTTCAGGAACTTTTTTGCCCGGAGTAAGGAAAACGTAGTCTAAAAGACACAACAAATGTTAATAATCGACATAATTCAAGCAGATAATGAGATCAGTGAAATTGTACGTAAAAGGAGAGTTGTTTATGTTCACACAAGCATTTAATAATCTATTTTAAAATGGTAAATGTAAAAACCACATTTTAAAACTAGCTTAATACTAAACTGTAACGTTTTTATTATTAGTAACACAAAAGTTCATCAGCATACTGTTAAATGAAATATACTGGGATAAAACAAACACAAGCTAGCCTAAAAACTCAATATATGAGATAAAAAAAAAACAAGACGCAATACTCAATTAATGATATTTCAACAATAGAGTAATGGCAAAGCTAGTGAAGAAGCTAATCAAGATGATAGTGGAGAAGCTACTATTGAAGAAGCCAGTGAAAAGGCAAGTGGAGATGATATTGGAGACTGTAGAGGAAAAAGGAATGAAAAAGCCAGTGGAGAATCAAGTAGAAAAGCTAGTGGAGAAGCATGTGAAGAAGCCAAATGAGAAACTAATGGAAATACTGATGTAGAAGCGCCAATGGAGAACGTAGTCAAGAAACCGGACAAGAAGGTCGTGAAGAAGCTGGTTGAAATGCTTGTGTAGAAGCTAGTGAACATTCAAGCGGACTGTAAGAAATACTGGATTTATCTTTCAGACTATCCCCCACTGTGCTTCTACATCCTACAATACCTTTTTTTTTGCAAATTCTTGCCATTTTGTCAGTGGTTTTGGTTTAGGAATCTGTGAAATAGAAGTATTCAAATTTCAAGATTACATTAACAAAGTGGAAAATTTCAATGAAGTTAATACATTTAGGCAGTGACGTAGCTAGACAAAAACAACTGGTCGTGCTATAGCGATAACAAAAATGAAGTTCCAGTACAGTTGGTGGGAACATAAATTATCTGTGCCATCGGTTATGTAGGCTTCAATGTGCGACTTTGATATTTCATGCTTTTGGCAATCACCCAGTAAATAATGCATGTTGACATAATCAATTTGAGTCAATGTAGTGGACTTTGAACGAAACAGTAAATAAAGAAAACAAAATAACCGCCATTTCTCCAGACTAGTGCATAACAAATCTTTCCTTTCGCACCAAGACTGTCGGAACATTTTATCTCTCGTTTTCAGTGTGAGCGTAGGGCCGTGTTATAGAAACAAAATATTTCTACTGCATAGCGTTGCGTGAACTGACAATACTTTGAAAAAGCTCAGAAACGATATCTCTGACTCTTTGAGCTTCAGACGCAACGTTTGACTCTCCTTTACTAATTTCTATGTTCACACACAAAAAGAAATTTAATAACACAGTAAAACGATTAATAAATCGACAATACTTAAAATACTCGTGCGAATAAGGTTGGGCACGACCAAAGGAAAATATTCGGCGATTGAGCATGCGTTCGACTCAATGCAGCCTTATATATTATTAGTAATTTATGTTTTGGTAGTTCTCGTCTGATCAGAGTACGACCAAACTAAGGTTGACTATACCCATTTTAAGAGGCTGTGAGGATTTCTAGCCAATCAGCGCTTAGAAATATATAATTTGGTCGTGCTGGCCTAACTAGAGCACGACCAAAAACGGGCGAATGTCGTTCCATGTGCTTTTAGGCAATGACTAGGGCAGATGTTGGTCTGAAATAAGTAATATGAAGTATTTCAAGATACAAATGAAGCATTAGATATAGATTTTGTTTTCACTAAAATTGAAATTTTAGTAGGTTAAAAACTTTAAAATGTTTAGAAAATATTTAAAAATGTTTAAGTCTAAGTAGTTAGAAAAAATGTTTAAAAAATGTTTGGTCTGGCTCAGCAGAACCTCTAGCTATGCCACTGCATTTAGGAACAAACCTACTTTTCTCGTGGAAGAACAGTTGTTGCTTCTGGAAGCTGAAACATTTAATGTGGTAAGTAAGGCAGTGAAAAAACGATATGTACATGCAGTCTCCAAGTTTTTACTATTTAAATTTGGAGAAGCAAATTCTGGTTTTGAACACGTTCTTACAGTAACTATTGACATAAGCAAAAATGCTACAAAATATTATACATATTTACAAATTCTGCAAACAAATTCTTGAAAACTAATGTCCAAATGGCTAAAAAGTTATTTACACAGAATTTTATGTTCAATTTTGACAACAGTCTGTTTGTACTCACTGTGAAAAATTCTATGAATCAGAGATTAATTATACTGCATAGTAAGTTATCATAATTAGGAATGCGTATGATGCAAAACAACACATGGTATCACAACTATATAATTTATATCCCTATAGGCACTTGCTGAATCCGAAGTATGATAGAAATCATGAATATTTTTATTTAGAACATTTTTATGGCAATTTAAGAATGTAAAAACTACGTAGGAAGCATTCTCATTTTACAAATACAACTTTTAAGAAAACCATAAGCAACAGGTTTTCTACTAACCTGTACCAAAACAGCATTGTCACACTTTGCAACTGGCAGCTGGAAAAGTAAGAACACTGACTATATCTAGAACAGGGGTTCTTAACCTGGGGTCCATGAACCCCTAAGGGGTGCATGATGGTGCTTTAAGGGGTCCGCATATCCAAATAAGAATATCTACAGTAGGCTACGTATTTCTATTGACCGGTTAGAACCTAAAAAAGCAACATCGTTTGATGATCGTTCGAAATATATGCTCACAAATCTTTGGACGGAATAAAAACAAGATGTTTTCGCCTTCGATATGTATATTTAACTGAAGTATGATTGACATGTTTTTCTTTTCTATTGTGCATTTATAATTAGTAGTCTAATGTTTCTTACACATTGCATTTGTGATAAATAGGCCTATGTAATCATACACAATGTCTATGACATAGACATTGTGTATGATTCTATTACGACATAGACTCTATGATTGAACAAAAAACCGTGCACGTGTATGCTGCATAGATTGAACAAAAAACTGTGCACGTGTATGCTGCATTGAGTATTATAGAAAGCTGTCAATTTGCTTATGTGTTTTCTACTACAAAAGTTTATAACCTGGAAGGATAAATAAATTAAAAATTTTACCAATTTAAAAAAATGTCGAAGAAGAGAAAGTACAGTGAAAATTATGTAGCTTTTGGTTTTACCTTTATTACTGATAGTGATGGCAGCGAAAGGCCGCAATGTTTTCTATGTGGTAAAGTCCTTGCCAATGCAAGTTTGAAGCCAGCAAAACTGAAAGAGCACCTCATATCTATTCATCCTAAAAACGCACTGGATAGTGTTGATTCTTTTCGTTCTAAGAAGGCTCGATTTGAGAAATCAGGGACTTTGCCGAAGTTCGGATTCATCAAGACGCAGAAGCCTTGCCTTGAAGCATCTTATAAGGTCGCTTACCGCATTGCCAAGGCAAAGAAAGCTCACACTATCGGAGAGACATTGATAAAACCGTGTGCTCTGGAAATGACTGAGCTAGTATGTGGCACAGAACAAAGAAAGAAACTTGAAGCCGTTTCCTAGTCAAACGATACCATCAGCTCCAGAATTATTGACATTTCTAATAATATTCTGAAACAAGTAATGGAGGAACTTAAAGCATCACCATTTCCATTTAGCATGCAACTGGATGAAAGCACAGATGTCTCTCAGTGTGCCCAGCTTCTTGTATATGTTCGTTATATGCACGCTGATGCAATTAAAGAAGAATTCCTATTTTGCGAGCCTCTCTCAGAAACTACAAAGGCTGCAGACGTATTAGAGATGGTGAACAATTTCTTTGCCAAACAAGACTTCAATTGGAAGAGAAATATTGGTAGTTTGTGTACTGACGGAGCGCCCGCAATGCTTGGAAAAACCTCAGGGTTTGCTTCGTTGGTAAAGAAAGAAGCTCCTCACATCATTGTGACTCATTGCTTTCTACATCGACATGCATTGGCATCAAAAACTCTATCACCAGCTTTAAAAGAAATTTTGTCTGTTTCTGTAAAGATCGTCAACTTTGTCAGAGCTCGAGCTTTAAACAATCGTATATTCAAAAGACTTTGCCAAGAAATGGGTGCAAAACATGAAGTACTTTTGTACCACACTGAAGTTCGCTGGCTTTCGAGAGGTCAAGTTTTGAAGCGTTTGATGGAACTGAGAAAGGAAGTTTCATTCTTCTTACGAGAAAAACAAAATCCTCTATCAGTGCAATTTGACAGAAAGGAGTTTCTTTATGGCTTAGCTTACTTGGCAGATATTTTCGGTCATTTGAATGAAGTAAATCTGTCATTTCAAGGACCAGATGTAACGATTATGGACGTTACAGAAAGACTGCAGGCTTTTCAAGCAAAGCTTCCTTTGTGGAAAAGAAGACTTGAAACAGACAAATTTGCCAACTTCCCAATGCTGGAGGAAGTGATCTCTCAAACTCGAATCGATAATACTGAAGCCCTGCTTTCCTCTCTACGTGGAAATATGTGCGAAAATTTAGACAGATTGCAGCAATCTTTTGAAAGTTATTGCTCACATGATCCGAATTTTGAATTGTGGATTCGCAACCCATTTCTTGCAGATCTAAATTCTATTGGTGAGGACGATCTTGCCAAAGATGACCTCATTGAGTTGAGGACAATGCAAATGCTAAGGAGCGAATTCAATTCAAAGAACCTTGCAGAATTCTGGTGTTCCTTGGCACAAGCGTATCCTCGCCTGGTGAAGAGAGCCATGGTTGCTCTTATTCCTTTTGCTACTACCTACCTCTGTGAGGCAGGGTTTTCTGCTCTTCTTGCTATCAAAACGAAACAGCGAAATCGGTTGGATGCTAAGGATAACATGCGTGTGGCCCAGGCAAAAACCGTCCCACAATTTCGTGTTCTTGTTGAAGATAAGCAGGAGCAACCTTCGCATTGATTTAAAAAGTTATTTGCGTTCTACTTATTGGTTACTGCACTGTATTTTTTGATTCTTTATGGTTTTGCAATTGTTGTATAACTTAATTGACTCGGTAATTGATTTATTATTCATTATTATTCGTTGAATTATTAATTTGCTTCTGTTTGGTCTGCAAATTTCTGGACTATATTACTAAGTTAATTAAAAGCTAATTTTGACAATTGCGATGTGTTTCTTCTAAAGGGGTCCAAAGCTTTCATTAGAATGTTTTGGGGGTCCGTGACCAACAAAAGGTTAAGAACCCCTGATCTAGAACTACATATAAACCTGACAAAATAGACAAAAAATGAATTTAAAATTTGCAATATCACACTCACGATCTCATTAGCTGGGTACTCTTGTTGTAGTAGGAAAAAGACAAATTTACTAAGCTTTCTTCCTCTCTTATTCTTTTTTTCATTTCTGTTATTATTTTACAGAGATAATTTAATCACCACGCCTTGCCAAGTCATGGTCTTCATCAATGAGTGAGTAAAGTTGTTATTGACATAACATGTGTATCAAGTGCATTTTATGCAAAGATTTCTCAACAGAAATTGTATTCCTGTGTAATAAACTACCATCAGAAGCTGAAAACACCCTCCTGCCTTGTTTCATGTTGATATAACAATAGCTGTTGGTTTGAAACAATTTACTTCTGCTCGTCGAAAAAATACAGTGTATATACTTTGATGATTATCAAGATTATAGTAGTACACACAGCTTTTTCATTGTTTCTGAATTTAAAGTGATTGCAATACCATACATGGCTAATTTTATAGGCAGATGCTGCCAAAGAAAACCACCTGCCCTACTTATTAAGAAGCTGTTGGTTGAAAAAAATTACTATAGTGAATCTGCTTTCCTGTCTTTAAAAGACATGAGTACTTTGATTTAAACCAACAGCTATTGTTATTCAAGTACGCAATAGAACAGAAAGGTGCTTTTAACTTCAGATGGCAGTTTACCACATGGGAATACTATTCCTGATGCTATTGTATAGACTGCAATTGATAAAAATGTTGGATACTTTTGTCAATAACAGCCATACTTACTCGTGGCTATATACAAATGCTACAGCAAGGTGTGATGATTGTATTATTTTTATAAAATAAAAACAGAATTGAAAATAAGAATGAAGAGAGGAAGAAAGCTTAGTAAATTTGTCTTCTTCCTACAACAACAGTACCCAGCTAATGAAGTCACCGCAAAAGTTACATAAAACAATGTCTAGATAATAAAGAATGATAAAAGAAAGGTACTAAACGAATTTTTTAAGCATCGAAACTCATTCTAGATCATTCTAGATCTTCGATTCTTGCAAGCCCAACTTTCAATTGAAAACGAACGCCAATATTTTGCAGATATCGGAATCATTTTGATGTCAAATTGATTAACATAACTTTTTTTATCCATGACAGATGTTTGAGATTAGTAAAAGGTCACGAAATGCCTTAAATATTCGAAAATCCTTGTATGTAGACGTTATCTGCCATACATTTCTTTTGTAATTTGTATTTCTTGTGGTACCCGGAAGTGCATTTTGCATATATAATTAGGCTTCACTTTTGCTTCCTATAGAAGCTATATCCAGTCTATTATCAGATCAGTGGTCACAGCCCTCTATTAGTATTACAAATAGAGGGCTCTGGTATTTGTGGTTGTCAGAGCCCTCTATAGTATAAGAGTTGGGACATCTATTGTTATCCGTTTAGCTTACCTTGATTTGGCAATATTGATCACCTGATCAATTTCCGCCATTTTGGTTCCTAGTTTTGAAATTTTAGCTAGTGTTTATATAGCAATTGCTGCTAGTAGTACAGTATTTTGAGATAATATTGCGTTTTTTATGGATAAGTGTGTAATAACTGATTGTTGAAGGCTACTAAATGTCATTACATATCGCATAAATCGAGGGTTACGAAAAAAATGAAAGAAATGCCTTTACGTCGAACTTACGAAATTTGATTGCGTATGGTGATTGTTGTGCTGAACTGCTTTTGATATAAGGTTCTATTAACTGACTCAAGTAGAGAAACATTTTTGGGCCAAATAACATTGCAAAGTTCGTGCTGATGCAGTTTCAATAGTTTTCTTACTCCAAAGCTTGTTTTTTAATCGAAGATGATTTCTCATTATGTTCTGAAATTGGTCAATCTACAAACCTCTCAATTCTCAGCCACTTCCATACTAAAACAACTACACCAAATCACAGAAACAGGATTACTGTTACCTATACTAATTTTTTCTAGGTTCAAACAACTTGACAAATTTTTGAATTTTACATTATGCCTTTGAATTGTTCTTTTTGTCTTTTGGTAAAAATATCAGTGAATGACTTAAAAATCAAGTTTATCTAAAATAGTATTTTGTACAAAGTAACTATACATAATTGGAAAAGTCTCATGTTGAAGACAGATGTCGCTTCTTTTACTAGATTGCTACTCTTATTCTTTTAAATGATATCGTAATTCTTCAAAAGACATAAAAAGTTCTTTTCCATCAATTTTTGCTTCTTCCACATTCAACTTCATTGCAACCAATGCATCTTATGTGAATTTTTAATCACCTGGAATTTAAAAATCAGGATTTTGTCAGATGATGCAGTACTGTATTTAACGTTTCATGCATGTCATGATAAGCTTTTCTTGAGCAAATATTTCAAGGTAGGAGCAAAATTTGGCACATTATTGAACAAAGTAGTTTTTATCTTGATTTTGATGTACTAAACTGTTTACTACACTGTGTAACAAACAATTCATTTACAGAAACACCAGATGGCATTTTAGCATAAAGCAAACTTTTACACACCATCATCATGATTGTCCATAATCTGTCAAATTGTCCAGGCTAGCTGTTTAATACAGGTATTTTTTATTGTACGGCATGTACCAAAGAGCTCATTAATTAATCCTGCACTGCATTTGATTTCAATACAGCTCTGTCCTTAATATTTGCTTCGTATTTTCAGAAAAATATGAAAAAATCCACCATTTCAACTCAGTTGAAACAAGTAGTTTTAAGATATGCATATCTCGATAAGAACTGGTTGCTTTGCCTCGTCTAGCAAGCGATTAAGTAAAGAACAAATAAGACTGGATAAACATAACTTAAATTATAACTTAGGAGTAAAAACAAAATATATGCCATCACACTTCAAGTATTGACTTAAAACAAAACACTGAACACTTTAAATAGTAAACAATCTTACGTTGCTTACCGGTGTCATGAAATGTTTCCTTTTCTGGCATTACTTCAGCATCCGTATACCAAACAACTTTGCAGCATGTTTTAAAGATAAAATTTCTAAAGTTTTTGTGCTTGGCATTGATATTTTATATAATCGCAATTGTGGTTGTAAAATCCGGTGTCACAGTGATATGGGTATCCCCGTGTTTTGGGTATCCCCGTACTTAAATCACTAGTGTTTTGGGCATCCCCCGTGAGGATACCCAAAACACTAAGACCATGGCATATGGCCGAAATAAATTAAGACCATGTAGCTTAAAACGAAAATTGGTATTTCTAAAAAGGACATGTATGGAAGTAATGACCAGACATTATAAAGGTGAGATGAGCAGCTATTGCTAGCTAAAATATTATGTCTTTATTGGTATTTCATGGCATCTTGTTTGAATTACGTATGAAATGCTTCATAGATACCGTTGACATATAAATTTGTTGTTGTGATTTCCATTTTTTTTCATTCTGTATTGCGAAGTACATTGAACGTATACTTTTAAATAGACTTGTAATTTAACAGTTTTAGATTGTCTTGAGTTCATTCAAACATAAAATGATTTAACTAGGTAGTGTCAAAAACTGTCAACAATTACGCACATTTGTAACAATGTCTTTTCTTGTGATATAATCAGACTTTTTTACCCCTCTAAGAATACAACATAACAAATGTTAAAACAAGTTGCAATATAGTTAAAAGTACTAATAATTCAGAAGAAGAATCGACTTTCATTATCAGTCACATAACACACACTTAACCTGTTTTTACTTCTTTTGACCACAATGTGGATTACATTTCCATTTTATTTCTGCTTTTTTAAAAAATAGTTCCGGGACATCAAGGCAGTGTTTATGAAACCAGCTCTGACAACTGACACATTCAACCATGTCATCTTCCTCCCTGACATATGGAAGGCGACATCTACAGTAAATTGGTATAAGAACCTTGTGTGATGTTTGTTCAGGGCTTGACATTCTTGGTACAGATGGAAACATATGCATTTTGCCTTTAGTAAAACAATTCCACAAGTGACTTCGGATATTCCTCCTTTTGAAAGTTATCTTGCTGGGATCCTGTCCATAACACAATGATGTAGCAAAAGCAATGGCAAATATACCACAGTCATATCCATTTGTCTGTTGGGTGACTGGCTCAATTGAGATTTCGATTACATTTTCTGACTGAAGGTATAGCAGACTAGCAATTTCCTTTTAACTGTGTTACTAATTCCTGAGTACATACTGTCATAGAGTTTAACAGCATTATTTTGATTACAATGAATGTTACTAATGCATATCCAGTGATTTGCACCAGTGTGAAGAACTTGAATGAATTTACCTTTCATGACATCAAACTGTTGCACCATACCTAATGTTGTTGCTTGGAGGCCTTCCATGCTTGGGAATTGTTGCTTCAACAAATTTTGGGCCTTGCCAATGTGAATGTCTGTAAGCAGACCATTTTGGATAATGACGTCTTCATCATTTTCATTTAATTGATAATTTGGTGTCTTCATCTTGCTTAGTAAACTCACATCCGACTTCCTTTCCTTCACAATCTTGCACTCATCTTCTTCACATGGCTGCTTCCTTGTATGATCATGCTTGAATTTCTTTGATGCTATGCTTGTTTTTGTTGGTTTGCATCTCTTGTTTTGTTGCTTTTCCCAGTTCTTTTGAAGTTCCTGTACATGATATTGTCCTCCAAATTCTAGGTAGCTTTCAGCTTCACAATAAGACAATTTTAAAATGGCCTGAAGTGTAAGAGCTTCAGGGAAGATAACTTTGGTAATGAAGTCTATTTCAGAAGATGGAAACCATCCAAGAAGTTTACTTACAATAAGATCAGATTGCTTCTCAGTAAATCCTCCAAAAAAGACATTTACTGATAGGTCTCTCTTTTTTAGGTTTGGAGCACTCTTGCTGAAACCTGATTTGAAAACTTCACAACGCCAGCATTTTTCTTCGTATTCTAATTTGTTTATTAAATCATTCTTAATGCATGAAAGGTGTAATAGAAGGGCTTTTTTTTCCATACTTTTTATTTTTTCATCAAATTTTTTGTAGGCCTGTTTGCTCAAAGACATTGATTCTTGGTTGTTTGCGTCTGCTGTTTTTTCTTTTGTGCTTTTTTCTTTCATCTTTTCTTCCATCATTCCGATCATCTTTTCTTCTATTATCTCTTCTATCATCTCTTCCTCTATCATCATCTTCTTTTTCTTTTTCCTCTCATTCTTCTTTTTGTTTCTTTTTTCTTTTTTCTTTGTTCTTTTCTTTTCTTCCGTTTACTTCTTCGAATCTTCTTTCTCCCTTCTTTTGTCTTGTTTTGGTTTTCATTTTTTTATTGATTTTTCCATTGTTGAGCAGAATTGTTTGACTTTTTGTTGAGCTTCTTTTTTAGATTTGATTTGTTTGTTAATGGATTAACAACCTGCAAACACCTATTTACATCAACCTCCATAACTTTATACGGGCCATTCCATTGATCTTCCAGTTTATGCCCTTTCTTTGTTTTCTGTAGCATGTTACGAAGCAAGACAGTATCTCCATCCTTGAATTGGCATATAGGTTTACCCCTTTTTTTCTGATACTGTGCTTGTTGTTTTTCCTGGGCTTTTTTGATGTTGGAGTCAACAATGGGGAATATGTTATCCCTCATTTGAGACATTTGCTCGACATGTTTTTCTATGGCTACTTCACTGTTCACATCCTGCATCAGCTCCGCAATGTCATTTTCCTCAGTGAGGTCTGTCTCACATTTCTCAGCTTCAAAGGGAAATCTTGGATTTCTTCCAAACATTAAATAGAATGGACTGTATTTAGTGGTAGCAGACTGATTTGTATTAATTGCAAAGAGTGCTCCTTCTATGTATTCATCCCATATGTCGGCTTTGCTATCCATAACTTTCTTGAGAGTTCTTAATAGAAAAAATAACAACAGAGGAAATTGGTCTATAAGAATACAAGTTAAGTATACATGTTAATTTAAAAATACTTTTTAATCGTCTGATTAGTTCTTTCATCTTGGCCATTTGATTGAGGGTGGTATGCTGAAGTAATGCGATGATGGATTTTAAAAACTGTGAATAATTCCTCATTCACCTAAAACATATATTTTTAAGTAAACAAGCTAACCAATGTCATTCTCAATAATTAAAAAGAGTTTGTTATTCTAAGAAGTAACAGAATTTTGGTAAATCAAATTTACTGTTGATTTTTCAGGAAATAAGTCCTAAATGTAAGCCGTTTATAGCCCTTTAGAGTGTTAATCATACTCACCAGACAGATCCATGAAAGAAATAAGAGTGCTAATCAATTATTGAAAATATATTAGCTAATAACTATTGTATTTCATTACCTGGTTCACAAACTCTCGTCCTTGGTCTGTAATAATAAGGGGAAGGGGAGCCATGTCTGCAGAAAGTGGAATAGAGACCTTTGGCCACACTGGTAGCTGTTTTATCTGGAATTGGAATTGCCTCGACATATTTTGTGAAATAGTCTGTTTGTGTCAATAGGAATTTGTTTCCCTTTTTTGATTTTGTATGTGCATCAATGAGATCAATACCAATCAGGTACCATACTCGAGGAACCACTTTGACTGAGTGAAGAACGTCACACGTACTTTTTTCTGCTGCATTACGTTGACATCTATCACATTGTTTTATCTAGGAAAACATCAAAGATTTGTAAAATATGATTGTCATTTTAAAATTTTTATGTTATTACTGTTGCACTTGTTAATATATTTTCATTACATTTATAACATTCTTCAATTTGGTTATTTTGTAATAGATTTATAGTTTACCATTTCAACTGTGTCTTTGTAACAATCTGGCCAATAATATCTATCTCGTATCTTCTTGAAGGTATTGTCTCCTCCACTGTGGCCTGCGTAAGTTGCCGAATGGCATTCTTCGAAAACCCTTGACTTTTGATCTTCACATATAACTAAGCGTTTAAGTGTGCCTTCTTTTGTCTTGTCCAAGTACAACAACGAGTCTAATTTTTTATCGTATTCAAATTTTTTTGAAAATTTGTGCAAAACAAGTTTGTCTTGCTTGGTAAAACACTCGGGATACACGGAATGTTTAACATACTGAAGTAGATTTTTATATTTTGTTGGATCCATCACGAATTTTTGAAATACTGAAATCTGGTTTTGTTTCGCGCAAAATTGTGTTGTTCCCGCTAAGTCAGGGGAAATCCTTTAATCCACAGTAGGGAAACCCCTGAAACAAGCGTAGGAATGGGAACAAGTATAGGGAAACCCATATCACTAGTGACTTGTGAGCCCTGAGTGGTCGGATGGGGATACCTAAATGTTGTATATGCCAGAAAATGGATGCGATACATATATCTCATGAAACACCAATTGTGAATATAGAGGACATAATCTCGGCCGCAGAAGTAAAAGATGAACAGAAATTTAAATCAACAGAAGTAAATAAATTGATCCAACCTCAATTTGATGTTAGAAACCTTTTATTAACTGACATAAATATTGTGGAAAAAAGTAGCTTCAAGTGAGTTTTTCCTTCTTCACAATCCTATTGATTTATTCTGACATTTATAGCAATAACCCCATCTCGTAGTGCAGTCTTTCCTTATAAACTTTTCATTGTATTTATTACTGAACGTAGAAACAAGAAAGATGAAATTCTACGTGACAATGCTCGTGACAACACGCAATTTCTTTTGAATTGCATCTGGAAGGTTTGAAAATTCATATTTTTTGGCGAAGCCCATGGGCATAGGTCCATGGTTGACATACTCTTTTGTAAGGTTTAATTCTATCTCCACCAAAGGTTTTTAAATTATCACATTTAATTTTAAACTTTTTTATGTAATTACGCTCTGTGGTATAATCAGTAGTGTAGCCAGCCTTCACAGTTTTCTCCTGCTGTGCAATTTTCACAGCATTATTTCTTTAGAAATCTGTTGTTTTCCAATGAGTAAACACACAATAGTTGGCATAGCTAGGCCAAATTTACGGGCGGGCTATGCCAGTGAGTGTGATATTGCAAATTTTAAATTCATTTTTTGTCTATTTTGTCAGTTTTATGTGTAGTTCTAGATATAGTCAGTGTTCTTACTTTTCCAGCTGCCAGTTGAAAAGTGTGACAATGTTGTTTTGGTACAGGTTAGTAGAAAACTTGTTGCTTATGGTTTTCTTAAAAGTTGTATTTGTAAAATGAGAATGCTTCCTACGTAGTTTTTCCATTCTTAAATTGCCATAAAAATGTTCTAAATAAAAGTATTCATGATTTCTATCATACTTCGGATTTAGCAAGTGCCTATAGGGATATAAATTATATAGTTGTGATGCCATGTGTTGTTTTGCATCATGCGCATCCCTAATTATGATAACTTACTATGCAGTATAAATAAGCTCTGATTCATAGAATTTTTTACAGTGAGTACAAACAGACTGTTGTCAAAATTGAACAAAAAATTCTGTGTAAATAACTTTTTAGCCATTTGGACATTAGTTTTCAAGAATTTGTCTGCAAAATTTGTAAATATGTATATTATTTTGTAGCATTTTTGCTTATGTCAATAGTTACTGTAAGAACGTCTTCTAAACCAGAATTTGCTTCTCCAAATTTAAATAGTAAAAACTTGAAGACTGCATGTACATATCTTTTTTTCAGTGCCTTACTTACCACATTAAATGTTTCAGCTTCCAGAAGCAACAACTGTTCTTCCACGAGAAAAGCAGGTTTGTTCCTAAATGCAGTGGCATAGCTAGAGGTTGTGCTGAGCACGACCAAACATTTTTTAAACATTTTTCTAACCACGAGAAAAGCAGGTTTGTTCCTTAATGCAGTGGCATAGCTAGAGGTTGTGCTGAGTACGACCAAACATCTTTTCAACATTTTTTCTAACTACTTAAACTTAAACATTTTTTAAATATTTTCTAAGCTTTTTTAAACTTTTTAACCCACTAAAATTTCAATATTTGTTTATAATGTTAACAGATAGTAGTGAAAACAAAATCTATATCTAATGCTTCATTTGTATCTTGAAATACTTCATATTACTTATTAAAGCCCGACATCTGCCCTAGTCATTGCCTAAAAGCACATGGAACGACATTCGCCCGTTTTTGGTCGTGCTCTAGTTAGGCCAGCACGACCAAATTATATATTTCTAAGCGCTGATTGGCTAGAAATCCTCACAGCCTCTTAAAATTGGTATAGTCAACCTTAGTTTGGTCGTGCTCTGATCAGGCAAAAATGACCAAAACATAAATTACTAATAATATATAAGGCTGCATTGAGTCGTACGCATGCTCATTCGCCGAATATTTTCCTTTGGTCGTGCCCAACTTTATTCGCACGAGTATTTCAAATATTGTCGAATTATTCATCGTTTTACTGTGTTATTGAATTTATTTTTGTGTGTGAACATAGAAATCAGTAAAGGACAGTAAAAACGTTGTGTCTGAAGCTCAAAGAGTCAGAAATATCGTTTCTGAGCTTTTACAAAGTATTGTCAGTTCACGCAACGCTATGCAGTAGAAATATTTTGTTTGTATGACACGGCCCTACGCTTACTCTGAAAACGAGAGATAAAGGGTTCCGACAATCTTGGTGCGAAAGGAAAGATTTGTGATGCACTAGTGTGGAGAAATGGCGGTTTTCTTTATTTACTGTTTCGTTCAAAGTCCACTACATTGACTCAAATTGGTTATGTAAACATGCATTATTTACTGGGCGATTGCCAAAAGCATGAAATATCAAAGTCGCACATTAAAGCGTACATAACCGGCGGCACAGAAAACTTATGTTGCCACCAACTGTACTTGAACTTCATTTTTGTTCTCGCTATAGCACGACCAGTTGTTTTTGTCTAGCTACGTCACTGCCTAAATGTATTAACTTCATTGAAATTTTCCACTTTGTTAATGTAATCTTGAAATTTGAATACTTCTATTTCACAGATTCCCAAACCAAAGCCATTAACGAAATGGCAAGAGTTTGCAAAAAAAAAGGTATTGTAGGGTGTAGAAGCACAGTGGGGGATAGTCTGAAAGATAAATCCAGTATTTCTTACAGTCTGCTTGAATGTTCACTAGCTTCTATACAAGCATTTCAACCAGCTTCTCCACGACCTTCTTGACCAGTTTCTTGACTACGTTCTCCATTGGCTTCTCCATCAGTATTTCCTTTAGTTTCTCGTTTGGCTTCTTCACATGCTTCTCCGCTAGCTTTTCTACTTGATTCTCCACTGGCTTTTTCATTCCTTTTTCCTCTACAGTCTCCAATATCATCTCCACTTGCCTTTTCACTTGCTTCTTCTATAGTAGCTTCTCCACTATCATCTTCATTAGCTTCTTCACTAGCTTTGCCACTACTCTATTCTGAAGTAGAGTTAAAATATCATTAATTGAGGTAATGCGTCTTGTTTTTTACATCTCATATCTTGAGTTTTTAGGCTAGGTTGTGTTTGTTTTATCCCAGTATATTTCATTTTATATTATGCTAATGAACTTTTGTGTTACTAATAATAAAAACGTTACCGTTTAGTATTAACCTAGTTTTAAAATGTGGTTTTTACATTTACCCTTTTAAAATAGATTATTAAATGCTTGTGTGAACATGAACAACTCACGTTTTACGTACAAATTCACTGATCTTATTATCTGCTTTAATTATGTCGATTGTTAACGTTTGTCGTGTCTCTTAGACTACGTTTTCCCTACTCCGGGCAAAAAAGTGACTGAAGAATTTGACTGCGTTTACCGTGATCCATTTGAATTCCTCTACAGTTTTGCGCGTGTTTTCAAATAATGTATCTTGCTGTCAAAATTTGTTAGTTTTTTTTTTTAAAGAATAGCGCCGTTTCTCGTCTACACATTGCTAGATGTTTATAAATCTAGCCATAAATCATAAAAAAACATTGATTTATAAAAATTGTTACGGAATTTTTCATGAAAAGCTTTCCAAAACATAAAATGTTCACCATTCTCAATTATGCGCCAAAATTTGGGACGAATCGAAGAGAACTGGTATCTAAAGTGTGGCGAAATACTAGCGGTTAGCTTTTTACCCAACGTTGAGTAGCGCTCGTTTTTGTTTGACCACGTTTGGAAAGTGTGTTCGTATGGCTCCGGAAAGTGACGTTTTTGAACAATTCCCCTACGGCGTAGTTTAAAAGTAACTCGATTCTGTTGCTTTTTTGCGCCGTTTTCAGACCGATCCGTAGCAGTGTTAACGTAGTCTAAATGAAAAGGTTGCTTAACGATAATTTATTACACCTAGTTTAGACAGATTTTTTTTCTAGGGATATCGCAAACGCGGAAAGATGGTATGGGATGCTTCCACCAAAGTAAGATGATTGTGTGTGTTGTTTGTGTGTAAAAGAATTTTAGTTTCTGGTTACTCTCTTTATGTGGCGTTTGTTTCAATGTGTAAATATTTCGGTCTCGCTATTTAAATATTTCGCTGCTCAGTTAATGTAAAACGACTACATTTCTTAAGGCATGAGTAATGATTTTTACAAACATTTACGTACAAGATAATTCGCTCGTTACGCCTCTAGTGGCTGGTTATTCTTCATAGTTCTCACCAATAGACACTTACCAAATTTGTTTTTTCGGCCATGAAAACAGCAACGTCAATGACTTCATTTTCAGCCTTGATTTCATGCTATTGTTTTGTGTTCAGTTCGTTTAACTGAATATAACTGAAAGGCTTACTCCTCCCAAAATTTAAAGCCAGCAATTCAGCCATCGCAATTTTTCCATGCGCGAATCAAAGAGTAGCCTTACGCCGGATTTCCATTTGCGAATTTTTTCGCGCAAAGCGATAATTTTCTAATTTAGTAATTTAGGCATGCGCAGACGTTCAACAACGTCACATATACACAGCCCTAAATTCGCATAAACTGTTCGCAACGACGAAAGTTTGAGTTCGATTGATTTCTACTTTTTTGCTACGAAAAAATTCGCCAGCCAGTCAGATTTCAGTGTTTCTGATTTGTGATGTCCATCAACTATATTCAGTTTTCAAAATGGCGGATTGTGAGGAGTTATTAGAGACTCTACTCTACAAAAAACCCAAGTATTTTGAATAAGGAATTTTCTTAGACGAAATACGAAACAAACCATGCTTATGGAAACATATTCCTGGTCGTACATACTAAGCTGTCGTTTATGTGCCGGTTCAGCCGCTTTGTATGAATGTTTTATGAAATTTTTCGCCTTGAAAATTAGCGCTTCGCGTGAAAAAAATTCGCAAGTGGAAATCTAGCTTTAGATAATATTCAGTTCAATGGTTCTGTCAAAAAAATTGGAAGTTTTTACTACAGGAGGCCTTGCTCTTAACGCCACTAAAAACATTGAAACCATTCATTTTGATATTTTTTTAACTTCAATATTACAATTTAACATAGTCATGGCAGCCACGTTGGGGATTTAAACGTGCAAAAGATGACACAAAGGAATGGCTAATAGAAGTGCCTGCCAATGCAAGTAAATACTTATCCTTGAAATAACCAGGCGCATGATTTGCACAACAGTTATATGTAGAATTGGTAATTTCTTGTTTGTATTTTGTAGACCCTTATGAAGACCAGTTTTTAAAACGTGAAAAAGACAAAAAAGAACGAGTGGCGAAGAACGAATATCAATGTCTGAGAAACATGAGTCGTTCTCAGAAATTTAACAGTAAGACATCACGTGAGATGTGTAGCCGAACCGATGTAATACTTTTGTTATCCAAGGGTGGTTTTTTAGGCACCCACCCCCCAAAAAAAGTCTTTCACCCTCCTGTAGATATGATACTCTTATAGGCTAGAAAATTGTTCGATAAGACCTCGTCAGCACACCTCCTTGGAAAATCGGCTCCCCTTCTGTCAGATGAACCTTGATTTGTCCATGTGTCTCTGTAAATGTACTATGCTCCCTGTGCATTAGAAAAATATATTATTTTCGACATCGGTAATAATTCTGATTTTAGATATAGCTGGACCAAATCTCCTGGCTAGTGATACCACTGCGCCGCATCAGTGTATGTATTAGAGAGATTAAGCAAACACGACGCATCGTCTAAAGTCCGTACACACTGGAAGCTGGAAGCGGCGCTGAAACCATATGCTGTTACTCGTCCAATTTAGCCTTCTATATTTTCTATTATGTCGTACACACTGAGTGCAGCGCTACGGCATTGCACTCAGTGTGTACGACATAATATGAGCCAACTCTTTAATATAGTTGTTCGTAATCAGTGACTAAAAACATGATTAAAGTAAATGGTTTAAAACCGGGAGTATCGTTACATGTTTGTAAATGTAGATCGTCCAGATTGGTATAGTCCTGAGAAGGACTGTTTTTGTTGTTGTTGACTGACGTTTTGACAACCTTAGCGGTAGTCATCTTCAGAGTCAAATGAAGAACGGGCGCTCACATAGAGGAACGGGCGCTCACGACTTACCAACATGCACTACCTTTTTGGTTCCGCTACGTAGATGACACAATCACAGCACTACATGCAGACGAAATTGATGACTTTCACACTCACATCAACAAACAGAACAGCCACATACAATTTACCAAAGATGTCGAAGAAAACGGAACTCTTCCCTTTCTCGACTATTTGGTAAAACATGACAATCAAAAACTACGAACAACAGTTTATCGCAAACCAACACACACTGACCGACTACTAGACCAATCATCTTACAACCCTACATCACACAAAGCCACCACAATCAGAACATTCACAAGACGTGCACAAATCATATGTGATTCACCGGACGCTCTACACAACGAGAACAACTATCTTAAACGTGTTTTTGACAAAAACAACTATAACCCTGACTTTATCAAACGCAACACTTACAAATCCAACGAACCCAACGAAACAAACAACTCAGTTGCAACAGCAACGATACCTTACATCAAAGGTACGACCACACAACATACGTGTCGCGCATAAACCAATCACAACGTTAAGACAAGTACTAACGAACATAAAGGACAAAGAACAACCCAACGAACGACAAGGTGCAGTTTACAAAATAAACTGCTACGACTGCCACGCCTCCTATATCAGGGAAACTGGCAGGAACTTAAACATAAGACTTAGTGAACACAAACGAGCTACAAAGAAACAATACAAGACTATTCACATTGCCGAGCATCACACGGAATCACAAAGCACAAATCACGAATCTGTTCATGAAAAAATATTATCGCTTCCTTCAAAATTTCTACTCTATCCTGGACATGACTATCAAGATTTGAATTTTTGAAAATCTCACTTATATTTGAAGTGAAACCATTTCGACAAGGTAGTCAAAAACGTGTTTCTTTTTAGGCTTTACTGTCACAACAGTCGAGGAAGAAAAGAACCACAATCAACGATCCACAAAAGAGAAAGCAGAATTTATTAAATTCATGAAAAACCTTAAACTGGAATATCCCAAGAAGATTGGTTAGTTTTTCATCATTTTTGATGTTTCAAAATGACGAAATTATCGAGTACGGATAATAGTGGGTTATAGAGGTAGTTATAACCTTTTCCAAATTCCTTTCCTAGCCGACAATTTCAAAACATAAATGATAAAACGCGCTCCAAAAACATCATCTTGTAAACTAAAGATTCGAGCTATATCAGCAAGAGACAAGATTTAAAGCAATATTTCGACTTTATTTCAAAGTCATTATCAAGCCAAGTGATTATTTATAAACATGTGTGATCTAAATTGCAATTTAAGGGATTAGGAAAGACGTTCATAGCGATAAGAAGTTCATAGGAAAGTTCAGAGCAACATTTTGAATTACCACACATTGCCTTATTATAAAATAGGTACGCTTTGTGTGCATTTATCTGCGCTCACGTGTAATGGGTTGATGTTCTAGAATTAACTATTTAGTTTTTTACAGTTTATTTAAATTTAGTAAGTTGAGATTTTCTTCGATGAACTTATTTGAACCTCGCTTTATGTTTTAAAATGTGTGTTATATGTTTGGTTTAAATAACAACTTACAAGACGTTTTTAAACCATTTCCAGCCGATAATTTTATAAAATATAAAACGAAACAAACTCAGTTTATAATACATGTGCGATGACATCATGAGGAAGTTAGGTTTATTTAATAACCTACCACACATGTAAATTAACCTAACTTCCTCATGATGTCATCGCACATGTATCATAAATTGGAGAAAATCTTAGCTCAAAATCACTGTATCATATTTTGCGCCTTCTATCTCATACAATTAGCTAAAGATGGAAATTATCTTCGGAGTTTGTTTCGTTTCAGTGTTTTTCTGCAGAGATGTATGATTTGTCGTATCAGAATATGCTATGAAGATATGTATCTTTGATTATTTCGGATATTTTCTATTTGATATTGCTTTTTCTAATACATTTGGTAGCCAGTAATAACAAATTCAATGATTACTGAAAAATCATCTAAATATAGAACTTACGCATTTGAGAATTATGTTTTCCGAAAAACGCAAACAATATTATGGCCTATTTCAAACGTCGAATTTAATTCAGACGAATTTAATTTGCTGTTTAATTCGTCGTTAAGTTGTGTTGACGGTTGTTCATTTCAAACACGTCGAATTTAATTATGACAAGTTGTAATCAGCAAAGTCTACTGAGTAAACATAAGGCGACAATCTCGCGTAATGGCGCGCTCATTTAATAAATGGATTCATAATATGAGGACGGTGATTCCTGTTAAAATAAAGAAATTGAGAGAGAGAAAGAAGAAAGTTCATTAAGCTGCTATTGCTTTACTCGCATTGCGTATAAGATCCTTGCCATTCAGTCAATTTATAATTTGGATTGATCAAAAATATAATGTACCTATGCGTTCGTAGAAGTAACCATCTTGTTTTGAAAATAATCAAGCCTGTAACAGGTGGGAAAAGTCAATTTTAATGTCATGCGTGACTCATCATTGGATAGCAATATATCTGCGCCAGCGCAGATACAAAAATTCAGGTAACTGCAGCCTTACCGTTTTCAAAAACACTCCGAGCAGTTATCGCTATCTTTCATGCTCTTCATATTAAGCTGTTTCTTTGTTTTTACCAACATATTTGAAATTCTTATTAAAAGAATTCTATTTCATTAACTAACTTTTAGAGACGGCCCTTCCAGCAAATCTTGCTGACGGAGAAGAACAAGTGAACGAGGCTGTTGTTCATCAAATTCGCCATGGATGATAAAACAAGGGAATGAGTTGAAGACTTGTTATGATATATCGTACAAATACATCAAGATGAATTTAGGAACGTCTATGTTTTTGTTGTGAGTATTGACTAGTATTTATATATATCTGTATGTAATGTCTCATAGATAGGACAAGTTTTAACTATAATATTAAACATTAACCGAAACTTGACCACTACACTAAACAGTATAATCATCAATAAACAATTATTGGATGAGGTTGAGCATAATATGAGTAATTATTCAAAGCGAGGTATCAGTGTCTCTGAAATAAAACGTTTGTACGACCATGGTTATATATGCCGTAAACTGGCATACTTAATATTTCTACCACATTCTTCTAAACACTTTAACACTGTTAGCATTCTCATCACTCGTTTAAACTTAAACTAACAATGTCTCTCTAATAAAACGTTTTTACGACCATGGTTATATATGCCAAAAACTGGCATACTTTATATTTCTACCACATTCTTGTAAACACTTTAGCACTGTTAGCATTCTCATCACTCGTTTAAACTTAAACTAACAGTGTCTCTGAAATAAAACGTTTTAACGACCATGGTTATATATTTTCAAAACTGGCATACTTAATATTTCTACCACATTCTTCTAAGTAATTTAGAACTATTGGGTTAGTGCTCTTTACTTAAAACAGTTCTATTAAGAACTATCAACTTATTATATTGCTTTTTCCATTCACTATGGTATTTGCTATCTTTAGAACTATTTTCAGATTTGTCACCGCGACAAAGTCTCTATTGTACTAATTCAAAAAGTTTGGCCCCTCCTTTCATAATCTCGTGGATCCGCCCCTGACTATAGTTACAACAAATTTAAGAGCAAGACTGTTCGAAAATAATTTAAGCATATCTAGACAAATATATTAACGATTTGAGCACATTCTATTCAATAAAACATTATTTATCAAGCCAAAACAACAAAGTAAATGATTTGAACACGGGAGTATCGTTACATGTTTGTAAATGTCGATCGTCTAGGTTTGTATAGTCCTGAGAAGGACTGTTTTTGTTGTTGTTGACTGACGTTTCGACTGTCAAAAACGTTTACACAGTACAACTTTTGGGACGCTATTTCCTTCTAAAAGTCTATAATATTGTACGGTGTTGATACTTTTTGAAGCGATCGTCCTATGTATGTCAATTCCAGCGTTCAATCACCTACTTGTTGGCCAAAAAATCCCATCAAGATAAAATTTTGGTCTACCAAATACACGTATTGCAAATATTCTCAAAATCAACTAAACTATCAACAAAAGAAGTTATTTCCCTGAGCCTGACACGTGTACTTTCAGTAAACACACCAACCAAACTGTTCAAGTCGACGAGAAGAATAGTGCAGTAAAGCATCTGTCAGAATATCAAGACGGCGACCAGAGCTCATCTCCTTGGTCATGCCAGAAAACCCCCGAAGAAATGACCATAGTCTTTCCACTCCTTCCCCATCAGTTAATCCATGTCCTTTTTTTCTTCTTGGGTTAAATTGTATCTACACGACAACAAATAAGTTGCTATGAGCTATTTATAACTATTATTATTAAGACCGAACATTATTTTTCGTACCCAATAAATATTGTTCACGTGGACGCAATGATAGCAAAAACATTTTGAATACGTACAGAACAGTCTCTTTTAAATCTATCATAAGATGTATTGTTATCATCAGAAAATTTAAATTAATAAAATGTACAAACCTGACACGAGGACTTATGACCATAGCAGTGAAAGACAAGAATAGCATAATCGGCTCTCTTCACAAAATCATGCTTTCCATTTTTCTGGAAAAGAACAGAAGATGTCAATACATATTTACTTGGTTTTATTAAGGTTTAATGAAGGTGTCTGAACTCTACTGCACAAAGTCATTATAACCAAACAAAATAAACTATTAATGCTTTAAAAAACCAACCATTAGGTGTTCATTCAATGTAATTTATGAATATAAATGTGAGTGTGATGGTCGCTATGTAGGTAGAACGTCTCTAAGGTTGGGTGATAAGATCAAACAGCATGTACCAACTTCAATCAGAAATGGAACTGTCCCCTCAAGACAACAACCAAAACGTGATTGTAAGAAAAATAATTTAGTTTCATGTGACTCCGCGATAGGTAAACATCACTTGAATAACTCCCATTGTGCTGATTCTTATTCAGACGACAATTTTAGAATCATTAAGAAATGCCGTTCATTCTTTCAGTTACGCGTCATAGAGGCTGTTTTAATTAAGTTAACCAACCCCGTCCTCTGCCGACAAAAGGATTATGTTTTTAATTTATCCCTGTTTTGAGCGTCATCTCCCCTTTTGGAGATGACGTACACTCTTCTTGGCAATGTAAATATCGGTAGATTGTAAATTTTCATTTAGCAGACGTTGACACCTGAAAAGTAGTCTGCCGAAATGCATCGTGTCATTTAATTTAGAACTATTGGGTTAGTGCTCTTTACTTAAAACAGTTCTTTTAAGAACTATCAATTTATTATATTACTTTTACCATTCACTATGGTATTTGCTATCTTTAGAACTATTTTCTACTTTTTATTAACAGACAACTCTAATGGGGTTAGACAATCTTGCATGCTATAAATCATTGCAATATTCAAAACAAGGATGGGTAAAGGGGGCTTGTCTATTCATATGAAAGCAGGTTTGTAATAAATGATGCTTAGATAGCCAGACTGTAAGCTGTAGGTCATTGTGGTAAGTGGATAACGATTGCCTTAAACATTAAAGAAAATATGTTAATGACTTCAAAAATTACCTTTCTCCATGTTTGATATTCATAAATCCTTTTGGGTAATCATGCTGGCAGACACAAACAAAAACACCTTTCTCATCGAATAGTTTGTACCTTTTGATCGAATCATGTCACTTACTTCACCTGCCTTAAACTCATGACAATCCTTAACAATTAAAGGCTTTGTAATATTCATAAGTACATAAAATAGCAAACTTGAGTGAAAACAATTTCTGAAATTCAAGCACATTTCCCAATACTTACAGTTTTAGCTTGTTCAGCACTTGAAGTGTAGTTATCAACAAATGAATCAACTTCTTCTTCATTGTGCAACAAAATGGAATTATGCCTTGACAAGAACTGAGCCTTCCCTGATGTTTTTTCTCACTAAACCAAAACATGGATCCATTGATTCAATCAGAGTACCAGCTTCATCAGGCTATCAATGGATGAAATGAATAACAAAGATGGTTTTAGAATGGAGACATTAACAATGTCCCTACAACTGTTTTTAAATCTTGTGTTTAATGGCTAAATGTGTACAACTCTGCAGAACAATTGTCTATTAAATTTGTAGAATATATCTAATCATTCAGTGAATATATCTAAGCTTAGTAAACAAACCATATTGGTCAATGCAAATGACATTTCTTGCTTGAGCACTATGGCAAGATTTCTGATGCCATGCTGCAAGAATACCAAGATTGGGAAAGTAAGGTAATGCATGCGCATCCTAAAAACATAATGCAAGCTATGTTTCAATAGCAGTTCAGACAAGTTTATGAAACAATGACAATGATGACATGAATTGAAATCAAAGTTTGATCACCAAACCTATACACCACAAAACGTCATCATAACTGAATTTATCTTTATTCTTTCCATCCATACCTTAAACCGTTCAAGCACATGGAAGTAGTTGCTTGTTTCGTGAGTGCTGTCAGCATAACAATTGCAAAAATATTTTTCGTGTGCGCATTCGTTACAACGAAATTCTACCCCAATCACACCACATTCAGAGCATTTTTCTTCGTTAAGAAAAACTTCTTCTTCAATTCTTCAGTTTAACAAAGACTCTCGTATGGTATGCCAGCCTTGAAATTCCTTTTCCCGTCTGTTCTGATAGTTCGTTGTATAAGTAGACTCTTCATCACAGTGACCTTCACCTTCATCAAACTCATCTAAATTATGTCATTCTATCGCACTAGAAGGGACATTTGTTGACTTTAATTCATTTGAAATATGATTTAAAGCTTTCACGGCGATATTCTTCGTGATTTTTCAGCCACTCGTAGAGACAGATCGAACGATAAGTTTGCAAGATTTGAATCGCTCTTAGGGGCGAGTAGCCATTTTGAACCGAATGAGCTGCACGGAGCTACACATTTTCTAAAGAAACTGGAACCTAGTGTAACATTCTTGTAGAATGCGTGGAATACATTTTATTAACGCTTCGTAACGCACTCTAAATATTATAACTAATGCTTCAAGCGTTTTAGAATTGGTGAAACGGGTGAAATACTGCAAAAATATGGCTAAAAGTCCAGCTGTAGGTATTGACTTGGGTACTACGTACTCATGTGCTGGTGTGTTTCAACATGGAAGGGTTGAAATCATTGCCAACGATCAAGGAAACCGAACAACGCCAAGTTATGTTGCCTTTACTGAATATGGACGTCTGATCGGCGATGCTGCTAAGAACCAAGTAGCCATGAATCCTACCAACACAGTTTTTAGTAAGATCATTTACTTTAATTATTTGTTTGTAGTATGAATTGTTTTAGTAATTTCATGGGTAGTTATGCTTTTTAAGAGCTGCTTCGTTTATTTTAAGATCATGGCAAGCCAAACGTACGGTGGCGTACGGTGGCCGTTACCGGTCACAAGAAAAATAATTTAAAAAACACAACAAAGAATAAGAAGACATCGCTCAAAATCAAACTACACATTTTAAAATACTCACTACACATTTCAAAATACTCACTACACATTTCAAAATACTCACTACACATTTCAAAATACTAACTACACATTTCAAAATACTCGCTACACATTTCAAAATACTCACTACACATTTCAAAATACTCGCTACACATTTCAAAATACTCACTACACATTTCAAAATGTTCGCTACACATTTCAAAATACTAACTACACATTTCAAAATACTCGCTACACATTTCAAAATACTCACTACACATTTCAAAATACTCACTACACATTTCAAAATACTCACTACACATTTCAAAATACTCACTACACATTCCAAAATACTCACTACACGTTTCAAAATACTCACTACACATTTCAAAATTTCTAAAAAGCACGATGGAGTATACACTGCACAAAATAAAATCTGCTTCAATAAAATTTATACAACAGTCAATAGACATAAACCACATCTCATAGTTGAATAAATTGATATTGATGGTTGGATACCTTAAGGCCATGCATACATTTCCTTTGTCCTCGTGTTGCTTACGTACGATTTTGGGGATGTAAATTTCGGCTGAGAACTCTCTGCTCAATGATGTTTCGCCTTTCAAAAGCAATGATAAGAATTTCTCTCTCGACATTTTAGTCGCCGCACAATATTCCTCATTCAAACGCAATTTCAATTCATTCAGATATTTATCCATTCTCTTGCGAAATTGCAGTCTGAACAGCAGTATAAATATCAATATTTAACATTCTAGTTTGTAAACGATTTTCCAAATAAATGCAGTGAAACAGATTTTATAAACCACGCTAAAGTGAATCACAATGTGATGATCTATCTCGCATTCCAGACACAACGCTTGATTATGTTAGCTCAGAAGGCTATCAGTTGAAATCGGTCAAACCAATCACAATAAAAAAGAAATTCAAATGAACAAATTGTAAAATAGCAATTGGACTCCCTTATCGGTCCGGCCACCACTCTTATCGGTCGAGACCATTCCAGACTGTCCACTGATCTGGCCATTGACCAATGAAATAAGCGTTTTTGGCGTTCAAAGACTGCTTTATCAGTCGAACCCGTCAAGCCACACCGCTTATCAGTCGGTTATTCCAGGTCAATTCAAATTCAACTGATCTGGTTACCAACGAGATATTCATTGCATTAGTCATTAGTTTTGAATAATAAATAAAACTGGATTTTTATCACGAAGTAAATGCGATAATAAAGTAAGAATAATTAATTTTTGAATTTCAAACATCATTCGCGCGACGGATTTGACATACTCTAGATCCGCCACTGACAAGTACGCGACCTGGCGAACGCAAATTCATATGCTCAAATTTTTCCCATCAAAGAGCGGACATGTGTCGAAAGCCACTGCAAATACATTTGCTTGCGACTTGCTCAGCGTTCATTGCCCCGGTCAATCTGCAGCCTGAGTTCATGTGACCATGTTCCATCAGAGCAAGGCGTGCTCCTTGACGAGGAACGACAGAAGCATTCGGTCCTCCCAGCAAAATAAGGTCGCGTAAGAATGGTCTATTATCTATAGCACCAGGTCTTCTTTTAGATTCCCTAATCTGTCTTCGATTAAAAGCAGACGGGCGCTGTGTATTTAAATTTCGCCTCGTGACAAAACTCCTCCTCGGCGCATTTCGTTCGGTAGTGTTCGTAGTTGGTACAACTGATGTAGACAGCCGTCTAGCTGTATTAGAATTAAAAATGTGACTTACTTCAGCCTCTGTTTCAGCACTTGTTTGAGGCGAAATTTTTGAATAAAGTTCGTTTAAATTTTCCAGAATTCGATCTACAATGTTTGTATTTCTTTTTTCCGCCATTTTAGTTATTTCAGAATAATCAATTCGATTTACAAATATGAAATCAATCATGAAGTTTACTGCTAAGTCTTTGACTATTGTTACTGTAATAAATCTCGACAAAAACCTAAAATTCTCGTCTTACTTTTAGATTCTCGCTATGTAGATCAAAATCTCGACCCATAGCTTAATGTGCTCGACCATCGCTTGAAGTTCTCAACCCGTATAGTTTGTTTTTCTCAAATACTAGATCATATTTTGAGCATATGGTTGATATTCTCGAACTTAAGTTGGTATCCTCGATACACTTTTATCACGTTTGTACTGTGGCCGGTATGGTTCACCAGAAAAATAACTTAAAAAACATAACAAAGAATAAGGAAACATCACTCAAAATCATTCTACACATTTCAAAATACTCACTACACATTTCAAAATACTCACTACACATTTCAAAATACTCGCTACACATTTCAAAATACTCACTACATATTCGTCCCAGTCTTACCCGCGTTTGTGCGGTCACCTATAATCACATTGGAGAACTCCTATGTTTGAGAACTATGTCATCCAACATACTGTTTATTCATCGTTTTATTTTTTTAACTTTGTCCAATGTTTTGCTCGTCTTGTTTTAACAAACTTCTTGAAACTTGCAATTTTTGCCCGTTTTGTGGCTGGCAAGTGAACGATAACAAAGAAGAAAGCTGTAAAAAGGAACAAGATGTCATGGAATTTTACTATCATTCCGGATACGAATATGAAAAAAAATTGTGCTCCATGGAAAAATATCATGGAATTAGTATTGCACTTTCAAAACGAAGCAACGGTTGAAAGAATATGGTCTGAAAAGAAAAACAGCCAATGACGTTAGCGATGAGGAAATAGCTAAATTAATACAACTTGAGTTGGATGGTCCAAGTTGTGTATTAGGCTATAGAAGCATGTGGCATAACCTACGGCTTAAGCATGGATTGAGCGTACCTAGAGACATGGTTCAAAGAATTTTAAAAGCACTTGATCCAGGCGGAACTGAAGAACGGAAACGATATCGGCTAAAGAAGCGGGAGTACAAGTTTACTGGGTCAAACAAATGTTGGCACGTAAAAGGCAATCAGCGCATTGAATGCTGGTGGTCTCATCTAAAAAGGTCTCGTACCTCTTGGCGGATAAATCTTTTCAAAGATCTACGTGACAGGAGAATATTTTTGGATGCAAATGTATATCACTTGCAATGTGCTTGGTTTTGCTTCCATGAAGTCATTCAGCGTGACTTGGATTTTGTCAGATTACACTGGAATACCCATCAAATCCGACCATCCAGGCATGACGCTGTTGCTTTGAAGCCTGATGAATTATATTTTCTTCCAGAACTTGTAGGCACTGTCGATCAACTGCAGCCTGTCCATAAAAATGAGTTGAATGAAGTCATTTCTTTATTTAAATTTTCAACTTGTTGCAATGCTGGAAATACGGATCACCAAGAATATTTTGAATATGTGTGTAATCTTCGAGGTTTTTCAACTCCAAATGACTGGCGTGAAGCTCTTGATTTATTTTCATTATTTGGTAACGTTAGCAGAATAAATTCATACTTAAAAAGCACAGTTATATTTGGTTAAAATTATGTAGTTTTTTTCAAATATATCGCAGGCTATACCACACATTTTAACATACAAACTTGTTAAGACTATAAAATAAATTGTTGCTTTCATTTTAAATCAACTACCACCTTTAATTAATAACCATCATGGTGCAATTCACAACTACATCTACATGTAAAAATATAAAATAGCAGTATGAAAAAGCCATTTGCACAATTATACAGTATACTGTAATTTTCTAATCACACCACTTTTGCAAAATGAGTCTTTATCTTCGTATGCTCTAAATATTATCAACAAATATAAATTTTGTAACTTTGTATATAAAATTGTTCCAAAAACAATTAAAAAAGTTAACATTAGTAACTAAACAACATTTGACTCATGTCTGTGCGTTTATGAATGTAAATTTAATACGATGTTACATTCATTTCATTGTCAAAACTATCTGATAGACTGTCACACATTTCCAAAACCTGCAGATTTAGCTAAACTGGATGTGAACTCAGTTTTGAAACTGTCATAATTCAAAAGAATGTCATTCACTGGCAGGCAAAGAATGTTAGAACAAGTATGAACATACAGCTTTCTTCCTGCAGTATCATGCTCGAATGCGATGGACGGTGGCTGGTAAAAACCAATTGCTGGCAATCTTGTACTCCCGGTAACTAAATGCAGCACAATGGGCAATGTAACAACCATTTCAGGCAATTCTTCTGCTTCCAGATCAATGATAGTACAAGAAATTTCTCCAGATTCCACATCTTCTAAGTATCTTGTAAAGTTTAATGACACAGTCTCCTGATTTATACGTCTATTGCTCCCCCTAGATGAGAATACCGGTTGAAAATGTTCGTCCAATTTTTCAGCCGTAAGTTTGTTATCATTGAACAAAAACAATGCGCGCGCTTGGTGAGGATATTAGCGTAGATAATCGATGAAGCCATGGATATTCAACCCTTCAACGAACTGATTTATTTCAAATAAGGAAGATAACAGGTTATAATGCAACACAATAGCTCGAAAAAGCAGATCGTTTTCTTCAAACGATACGAGTGGCTAAACCGAAATGAAAAGTCAAAAGAAGCAGCTTTGGCGAAGGCATCTGGATCTTTCATTTTTTTCAACTCTTAAAGTTTATGCTTCACCTTTTGATTGGGTATGTCACTAATGCATGTTGATTTTACCAGATCAATTTCACCAATTAAAATGTAATCTACAATACTGGGAGACAAAAAGCAAGAAGAAGCAGAGCCTTGCAAAATTCCAACATAACATAACTGACCATAAGTGTAAAAGCTTCTTTGTTGTAGCACAAGAATGTCATTGTTGAAGCTTTTTCTGTTATCCTCACCAACAAACATGCAGGATTT